ATGGAATGGAATTGAGTGGAATGGAATGGAATGGAATGGAATGGAATTGAGTGGAATGGAATGGAATGGAATGGAATTGAGTGGAATGGAATGGAATGGAATGGAATTGAGTGGAATGGAATGGAATTGAGTGGAATGGAATGGAATGGAATGGAATTGAGTGGAATGGAATGGAATGGAATGGAATGGAATGGAATTGAGTGGAATGGAATTGAATGGAATGGAATGGAATTGAATGGAATGGAATGGAATGGAATGGAATTGAGTGGAATGGAATGGAATGGAATTGAGTGGAATGGAATGGAATGGAATGGAATGGAATTGAGTGGAATGGAATGGAATGGAATGGAATGGAATTGAGTGGAATGGAATGGAATGGAATGGAATTGAGTGGAATGGATTGAATGGAATGGAATGGAATGGAATGGAATTGAGTGGAATGGAATGGAATGGAATGGAATGGAATGGAATTGAGTGGAATGGAATGGAATGGAATGGAATGGAATGGAATTGAGTGGAATGGAATAGAATGGAATGGATGGTTTGTGTGGAAGCAACGGGCGGTACTCTAATGAGTACTATTAACAAAATATATTTATAGCAAGAGAGGGAAGTGCTCCATTTTCTTGTAACATTCAGCAAGGAAGTAAAAAGCTTCCAAAAATTTTTTGGCAGTTTTCGGTTTTCATTTCGTCTTCTTTTCTTTCTTTCTTTCATTCTTTCATTCATTCTTTCTTTCTTCCTTCCTTTTTTTCCATCTTTTCTCTTCAAATGTTTTTACTTTCTTACAATTGGTGAAAAGAGCAAAAGGAGGCGATGGAAAAAAACGAATGGGTGAAATGATTATCTTACCTAAATGATAGGTAAGATCGATCAATGCATTCGATAGGATGATTATCTTCTTACCTAAATGATAGGTAAGATCGATCAATGCATTCGATAGGATGATTATCTTCTTACCTAAATGATAGGTAAGATTGATCAATGCCTTCGATAGGATGATTATCTTGCCTAAATGATAGGTAAGATTGATCAATGCATTTGATAGAATGATTATCCTATCGAAATGATAGGTAAGAAGTTAAGTGGGATGAATGATTGGATTGATAGAACGTTTGTTGAAAAGATAAATAGGTTGAAAAGTGACTTTTTATACATATATGTAATAAAATATGTGTATATATTGTCATTTCGACTTTTATTTAATCATTTCCTGGTTTAAAGAAAGAATGAAAGGGAGAGAGAGAGGGAAGAGAGAGAGAGAGAGAGAAATGAAAGCAAAGAATTGTGTAAGCTAAGTTGGATGAAAGGAAAAAAACGAAAAACTTTGAAGAAAATATTCAAAAAAATTTTTCTTTTCTTCACTTGCAGTTGAATGAGTGACGCAATCAATGATTTTTCATTTTGAAATTTAAATTATTTCCTATTCATCCTTTTTGTTAAAATTCTCTTAAAAAACCCTTTGATCCTCTGATCGGACATAATTTAAATCGATCGATTTCAAAATATGATACTGGAATTTTTGACCTAATCAATAATATCGTCACATCGATTTCTTGAATTATCAAGTCTGATTATCTTATCACTAATTCGTTATGTACCCTAACTTCATATCCAAAAAAAGGTTGAAGTTTTAAAATGGTAATTTTTTAATTAGAAGAGATAAAAAGATATGTACCTATTTTATTACTTTTTTATAGTTCATACTATACTAATTTAAATGTGATCTAATAGATAGAATATAGCGCTGGGAAAATGAATTGGTAGAAAATATTTTGCTAGTTAAAGTTAATGAAAAATTTTAAAGTTTGTAAATTTCTTTGAACTTCTCTTATGATATCACTTACTAAATCAATCGAATGAATTATTCATCTAAAAGTTTTCGCAATTTTGAAACAAACCTCCGAAAGTTTTAATTATTTGAGAATGGAACAAAAATTTGAGAAGATATTTTAAATTATGATTGGTTGCATTTGATCTTCACTTTAAACTCAATCTCATATATCAAATGAATTTATTGTTAAATGATACTATTAAATTCTTCTTTTCTTTTGCAGAATTTTTTTCTTCTCATCAAAATTTTTTAATGAATTACATTTCATTCAAAATTATTTTAAATACCACTAAATTATTTTAGCCTAACATATCACTTTTACTTCCTTATAAAAACATTCACATATATCACTAACTATAAATCATTGATAAACATATCCGACCGATATTATAACAAAAAAGCACTTTCAGAGAGAAAGAGAGAGAGAGAGAGAGAATATGAAATGAGTTGTTACGTTGCTAATTTACTGCAACCAATGAGATCATTTCAAATTTGTTTTATTGTTTATCATTTCATATGTCAAAGTTATTTCTTTTTTTTTGAGGATAACAATTGAGGAATTTATAATCCTTTAATCTATCATAGGAAAAAGAAATTAATTGTTTCTAATTGAGCAATATTTATCATTCATATAATATTTACTCTATAGCACCTTTACTGTTTTATATTTGAATGATAGATTTAAATTGAAATCAAACAATTAAAACAATTAGATTTTTCGTTTTCTTTTTTTTCTTTCAAAATTAATTTTAGTTAGCGTAACAAAAATTAACATCGAATAGGTAAGTAGAGAAAAGGTAGGAAATAAATCAAATAATTAATAAATTCCAAAAATAGTCATCGCCGCGTATAACAGCACATTGTGTCGTGAAGCTTCTGGAGAAACACTTCTAATTATTCCCTTACTCTATCTCTCCTACTCTCAAATATAGCTAACACTCATACTCATTCCGCCTGATCAATACCTTCCAACACCGCACTCTCCCCACAAAATATCATGTATTCTCGAAAATCTTCGTACACCTTTTCCTTTCATTCTAACAAGATGACACTTTACTTCACTATCTATCATGAGATTTCATATCCTATAGTTGCTAAACTTTGCAAATCAAAATACTACATTTAGAAAGTGAGATTGGATTTAATTACAATGCATGAACGAGTAGATGATATATGGAAATTTAATCAATCGCTTAGAAATTCTTTTCAGGAAAAGAATATTCAATGGTTTTGATCGTTTCTTCACTTCTTTTGATCTTTTTGCTCCTATGTTGAGACCTGATATTATTATCAATTTTTTAATGTATTATATATAAGCTAAATTAACAAACTTCATCCTTTTAAAAAACTTTTGAAATTCATTAAATTTAATTTAACTATTTAAATATAGGCTATCCAAAATTAATAGATAGTGCAATTAAAATCACTTATGTAAGCATATAACCATCTTATATCATCTAGTTGAAATCTTGATTGATTTAAAAATATTCCAATTCGTACATCTTTTGAAATTTAGCTGCTTTTAGTGAGTATCAAAAGAAATTTTTTTTTGTTGTTTGTTGATAGCATTTGTAATTACGATGAATTGAAAATTCTTTAGTTATCCGTTGGATCGGCATATGTACTTTATGAAGCAACGACGATAGCAATGGACAAAAGCTACTACCTTGTTGACCGTTGATGACGCAGCAATCTTTTAACTTAGCTAACAGAAATGTAAGTGCGTATGTATATATATATATATATATATATATATGTGTGTGTGTGTGTGTGTGTGTGTGTGTTTACTCATTTAGATCACTAAAATTTAGTAAGGAAGGGAGAATTTTGAAAATTCCATTTGACCAAGGGTAAGAAGGGTTGAATAGCGACAGTCGAAAGAGGGAAGAAGGGAGAGAACTATGCTTACATAAGCCTAGTGAGTGACGATGATCTGTGTATGCTTGCCAAGTACGGCATATAAACAGCAACATGCTAAGAGTCCAAGAACTCTGATGACCGAGCGCTTCCATTACTGATGAGGACAGGATGCTGGCGAGAAAATTTGCTGATGTTATGCGAGGTTTTGTGGAAATGTGTTATGCGAGGTTTTGTGGACATTTTAGAGAAATTTAAAAGAAAATAAAGCTAGAAGGTATAAAGGGTAGCGGCTAGACTGAAAGGGAGAGATGTCCACCAATGGGATAGTCGAGCTTCACACATCCACAGCTAACGGACATTCGGTGGCCTGTTATGTGTGTATATGTATGTATGTATGCGTGTGTGTGCGTGTATGTGTACGTGCGTGCATGGCCAGTGGAATATTTGTACAGCTATGAGATGAAAGCAAGAGGATTGCAATGGGGGGAGGGAAGCTAGGACAGCTTCGATGGTGCAACCAGCCAACCAGGAAGTGAAATTTCCATCTTCCAATAAATAATGCAGGAGTGAGGGGAGGAAGAGAGAAAAGGGACCGCTAACCCGAAATCACTTGACAACAGATAAATTGTCTTATAAGTGGCAAAAATAATGAAGCTTTTCCCAAGATCAAAATTCATCGGACATTTTAAAATGAGATGAACAAGATTATCATGCGTTCGTCCGAAGTTGCATTTCAATTCACATAATCGCTGGCAAATTTCACCATACAGATATTGCTTGTGTGAATTTGAAAACTCAACACAGGATAATCTTCAATAATTCAATCAGCAGTGGATTAGATGGAATGTTTTAGAGCTATCTTCACCGATGCATACCTCTATGTCACGATCGCCACTGGGAGAATCATTGCACTTGAAATATTCCGTATGACTCCTCGTTTTCAATATCATATTTTGAAACCCGATGACAATGATACCCATGATATAAATGAAGTGTCATGCATTACCGTATCAAATCTTTGCAGTATGTGACATACAGTTGAAAATCTAACAACGAATTTTTCATGTTCGATATGGGATAGAGATAGAAATCTATTCATTTACAGTCAGTAAATTGGTTAAGCTTAATGAACCCAAACTATTATAAATCTCTACTTTATTTCGGAACAAAATCATATCAACGCCAGAATAAAATTCTTTTAACAAATTGATAAAAATCAACAAAAATCAATGTGCTGTGATAAAACAGTTAGTTATTAAGAGCGAGAATCTCCCTATTTTCGACCTTTCTTTTGCTTCCCCACTTTCAGGCTGTTTCCTCGTGTTTTTTTCATCTTTTTCACCTTATTTTGGAAATGCTGCTGTCGATGAATAGCCGATTTCGACCGTTTCGGCTCCTTACTATGGTTTTTGTCCGCATTTCTTAAACATTTCAACCATGTAAAAAACACCATTACATTTTAGGATAACAACCGGAAATCTAAGCCAGCAGATGGCTTATATAAATTATTTACAGAGTTGATATCACAAGTGAGTCCCAAGTAAGGTTATGAGTAATAAACGATTTACATTAAGCTAATTACCGACAATTACAGCAATAAAGGTCTGCAAAATTCAAAGCTGATATTTGAATTGTTATTCCTTTTCTGAAAAGTTAAAATCAATACTAACTGTTGTTGATTGCTCCGGTGACTTGCTGCCAAAAGCGTTTCATTTAAAATGCTCTTTTTGGAAGACAAGTTATCCAAGATTTGCAACTGCTTTTTTTGTTCACCATGAACATCTATCTCATTGGGTTCGTACTACAAAACAGTCTTTAGCAAACAGTGCAGATACTTCAATTTTCATAAAAAAAGTTGCCAAATGCATCGAAAACCCTTTTCGTAAAGTGAGGCATTTCGAAGTTCAATTAATTTTCTTTTTTCCTTTGGAAACAAAAAACTATGTTTAAAAAAATTAAAAGTTACTTTGTGATGTTTTCCCGTCTTCAGCAATTTCTTTTCATTTTTAACTGCAGGTTGAAATGCACCGTGAGATGCGGTAGAATATCGCGCTCGATTTATCTGGTTTACTAACTGCAAAGGAGGTAAAAAGGTATATTGCTTAATTAGTTTTCTAAACATCTGCTCAGCAAACGCGACAATATCTTCAGTGAGTAGAATGTTTGATAAAGAATGATATAGTTTGAAGTGTTCGGTCAGCTAGTCTTATATTTGTAGTTAGTTTTATTTCTTCGTTAGTTCCAGAAAAAACCAATATTGTAAATTAAAAACTCTATTGAAGAGAATTCCTTATGATCATAATAAAAATAAATATTCGAAACTGGTATGCATGAAACTATATAAAATATGCATATTAGGGCATTTTTTTGGAATTTTGATAAAGCAAACAATCACAATAATCGAACCTCATGTCTACTCCGATCCTTTAAATCAACGGCAATACCAAGTGGAGTCGCGTTCGCGGATGAAATTCCTTTTAAGCGAGCGATGTTGCGTAAGCGTTGCATTTCATTTTTGTCCACTTTTTCTCTCTTTGCTTTTTGCTGTTCATCGAAATAATCAAGCATAGGATCTAAGAGGAATATTTTTGTTCTTAAAAATCAAAAGGAACCAAAAACATATGCGAAGATGAAATTTGCATAAAATTCTGATCCGAACTCAAACTAATAATCAAACGCTCGCTCAGGATAATATGAAACATAAACTACGCACTTTGGGAATTTGCACAAGGTACAATTTCTTTTATTCCATTGTCAACATTTCACTCTATATTTCAGATAAAAAAAAAACGAAAATGGAATCAAAACAGTTTAAAACGAACAAAGTTTCCTTTAAATTTACAAGAATGACTGGAATCGCTTTTCAGCTTTAGTTTTTCAGTACTACAAGCTGAATCATTTTCGTAGAAAACCTTTGTTTTATTACCTTTGTTGTCCGGTATTTCGATTAGCCAGTCTTTGGCATTATTGTTTTTGACACTTTTATATCCATACCTCACTTTCCATTCCTTAAAAAAATGACATAGGAATAATATATTACTTCATTTCGATGGACTATCAAAATTTTTTCATATCATTTGAAATCACATTACTTACAAAGAAATATCCTGATTAATAAAGCTTCAACCTGAGTTTGTTCATCAAAAATTTTTCGATCTTTCTTTTTCTTCCGTATTCCCTTTTGCTGTGCATATTGTTCCCATTTCGTTAGCTGACGCTGAGATGGCAAAGGTTTTTCTCGAGGGAGTCGAAATAATGGCGCTGGCAACTGACGAGTAGGAATTAAATACGATAATATATTTATAAAACACCTTTAAAATTAATAAGCGTAAGCTTGTGACGTACTATCAAAATTAATGAATAAGAGTTGAAAAATTCAGGACAAAAAATTTATGAGCAAGTAGTATAATTAAAAGCACACCTTTGCGCAGATAGCTTCATCAACCCGTTTCCTCTCTAGTTCCCAGATTTTGTTAAACAAAAATTGCGTATTATCTCGTATTCTTGCTGATAACTCTTCCTCATTTGGCTTGCTGTGAGAAATAAATTATGTTAGTATAGTATAAACAAAAGGAATACAAGATTTACGTTTAGAGTCTCAACACCAGAGATGCATGGGTGGAGAATTTTAATGTATTGTAGAAGTAGGCCAAGCATAAATCTAACCAAAAAATCCGCGAATAGAAATAGAGATAGCATGAAATAGTGAAAAAGGAAATCTTACTTTGTTGAACCCTCATCTATCAAGGGATCTCTATCGACGATAAGCAAGTTACCCGAATCAACAAATGGATCCACAATTTTATTCACTTCCGTTGATAATAATATAAACCCTTCTTCCATTCTGAAAAAAATCACAATAATAAACAAAGCAACTATAAAGTGATAAAAAATAGATGATAGTAAACCATAATAAAAGATTCGAATTGCAGAAGCCATCGAGATCCAAATTATGACAATACTAATAAATAAGCTAAAATTGCATGGGAAAGTTGACAGAATCAAAAAAATAACGCAACAATAGTATCTTCTTTATTATACGTTATTGAAAAGCACTTCATAAGAACGATGGTGAACTCTGTGCAAAAATATACCAAATGTGTCAAATAGAACAATAATTTGAAGAAATACTTAATCGATGAGAAGCACATATGAGGTTGAATTCTTTTTGACCGCAAGTTCTGGTAGTATAAGTTAAAGGATGTAGCAATGTTATAATAGTATGAAAAGCATAATAAAACAAAACTGACCGATATGAAAGCTGCAACCATATTATAGATTAAGGAGTAAAACAAAAAAAAAAGAAATAATGCATCAAATAAACTTCGGAATATATAAATATGTGCAGTGATCGAAGGGATGCTACACCAGCAAAACAAGTGAGTGAAATAAGATGAAAAGATAATAGAGGACATTTATTGTCAGTCTATTCCACACGAATAAGTACAGCCGTCCCATAACAGGAAGATTTCATGGACCAAATCGTCAAATTAATAGAAATTTCTTAAAAAATTATTCATCATAAAAATATGAGTCTCCGTAATGCACACTTTCGTGCAACAAATATACTATACAAATTTGAAAAAAAACTGAGAAAAGTCATACAACACGAAGATTTGCCACTTAGATCAGTACATGAATTGACAATAAGGATAAAGAATCATTGAAAGAAATTGTTATCAAAGAACATTTTCATCATCAAATTACGTTTTATATAGATCTCCGAAATAATAAAAAAAGAAAAAATACATCGCTTTTATTATAAGCAAAAAGTATAAAAAATTTTCAACTATGTAGGATAAGCCAGAAATTCATTCTTCATAGATAATATCTTCACGATTTTCATATTCAAAAAAAGCGTCAAGATCAGTTAACATACCCACCACCGTACCACCTTTGCCTGATGAAATCAATTCTTTCAATGTTATCCTGAAATTCGGAAGATATGTCAAAACTTTACCTAAATTAAATAATGAGTTGAACAAATCAGGTTTTGCTAAACCATTGATCAAATCAAAAAGGAAAAGACTTCTCTACCGTACCCCTCAGGGTTTTTTGAATGGCACATATCGAATATCTCATTCTTGATATCATCGAATGAGGGCGCTTTCTGCGAACTATCTGCTAAGCAATCTTCTAGCATTTTCGCAAGATCACGATAGAAAAAATTCAAATCCGAAGCAGTTAATAAATTATCACCATCAACATCTAGCACTCGAAAGTAATAACTCAGTGCAGAACGGTCCTAAATTTTTCATATAAAAAAATAACGTAATAAACAGATCAGATATGAGTTGAAAAATCAACTGTAGCATGTCTGTCTTTTCAAACCAGTAATATTATAAAGATGCATGTGAAATTCTAAAAATTGTCATCTAAAAAATTTAAGCGATAAACTTACTGATTTATGCTCCATTGCAAGTAGAAGGTCACAAAATCCTCTTAAATCAAGTTCATCATTGTCATAAGTTTGTTGAACTTCGAAAACTCTGAAAAATTACACGAATTTCATTCCAAAAGCTTAGGCATTTCCAAAACACAAATCGCGAAACGATGTTCAGAAATGAAGTTTTAACATAAAAAGAATGTAAAAAAAGTTGAAAAACCTCTGCATAAAAGAGTTTGTCACACGCTGAAAATCAATCATTTCTGAAAAACTCAATAACCCGTTGCCATCTGTATCAAGCTGTTCGTACATACTTTTTATTCTCAAACAGTTTTGTTTCGAAAACCTGTAATTAAAAAAATTGAGATAGCATACATTATGTACAAAGCACATTTATTTCTATCTCCGATACTCGAAATTTGTTAATGTAAATGAATAAAGTTGCTTTACGTAAATATTTTTGATTTATCGATGGTTTTTTTCGATCATACTCCTTGCTTTTCATATTGCATTTGTTACTGTGCTATCATTTTTGAAAACGTAGCAATGCTGGATAGCTGATTATCGAATCCATTAGTAGTATTATATATAAATTACCCGAAACTGAGGTTTTTTTTTGCAAATTTTAAATACATGAATCATAAATTATTGTGATGTATGAAAGTTAACTTGGAAACAAACCAATTTAGTGTACTAATAGTTTGAGATGTTCCTTGTTCAATTTTTGCAGACTCATCATCATCATCATCAGCACTATCATTTGATGACCCATTTAGAGTCTCAAATTCTTCCAATAATCGACTAGCTATAACGTCAATAATACGAATTTTTTTTTGCTGCATCGTATCGAGCAAAAAGAAAAATTTTCGTATAGCCATACACAAGTAATAATCCTGTAGCATTGGCTCCTCGTCCTGGAGAAGATGAAGTAAAAGAGCATGTTTTTAAAACAATATACGAATTAAACTTGACTAAACAACAAAGAGTCCTACGAGAAGAGGCTTAACCAGAGGTTGAAAGTATGGACTCTTCCAATGCCATACACACAATCATATCTAGAATATATTGCATATATATTATTACTGTAAGACTGAACTTATGCTTGGCTTAATTACGATACCATTTACTATCAATGGTAGTCTTTTACTTTTAGTTATGATACAGTGTCTATACTTTTGTGTTGGCCAGCTTCAAAAAAGAAAAAAGTCGTTTAGGAGGCTACAAAAGTCAAATTTATCAATATTTCGTGAACAAAATTCCTAACGATAAGAATTACATCCAAATTCGCAAGAGATAATGATAAGACTTACATTCAAATTTGCAAGAGAGGGTATATGAGGTAACACTTCGTCTTCTAAAAACTCTCGCAAGTCCTGCAAAAATAATTTGAAAAAGAAAAAGTCTTTGAATAAGTATAAACAGCAATGTTGCATTGGCAAGAGAACAAATATGCTTTAAAATATATTCATTTTAATGAAAAGAAAATGATCACCTCCGTCGACAAATAGCCTTTGCTTGCAGAATCATAATAGTGCAAATGGATTAGTTTGCTTAGTTTTTCTTTTTTAGTTACCAAATATTCGATAATAGAGTTAACAGCTACACTCCCTCTGTCTTTAGTATTGCTAATTTGAAGCAAATCCATAAAAGTCTTCGTAGATAAGAAATCTTGCAAAGCTTTCGGAGCGAGATTCATTACTTGCTGAAGAAAATACAGTATATTATATTTCAAAGAATGTATAACACATTACACAAAACACTTATTTTATAAACATAAAATCGCTAGCGCTAACTTGCTTGATGCTTTCAATAGCTCCGAAATAAAGAGAAAATTGGAAAACATTTAAAATCACGAACTTTATAACTGTAATAATCAACAAATTTTTCGTCCTCACTTCTTGAATAAATCGCATTGTTTCGTAGATTGATGCAAAATAGCTAAAAGATTTCTTAATTCGGAAGGAAATTCAATAAAGTCATGATGAAATAAGCTCTATGGAAATAAACGAAAAAGTCTTGCCAATAATAAATAGGAAACCAATGATTAAAAAAATTACGAAAATATAAACGTAATTTATTTTTATTAAAAAAATAATCGAAACATAAATATGCCTCAATGTCTTCATTGCTTGGAAGCGATTCTAGCTTATGTTTCCACATGCGACGATGAGCTTCTAAACGCAGTTTTAGTCGTAAATTTTGCTTAATAGGTGAATCAACATATTTTTTAGCTCCACATACCAGTAATTTAGCCTGAATTACACAGAACAGTAAAAAACCATATTTCCAAATAATCTCTTACGTCTTAATAAAAATTGTCTGGGTAACATGTTCCATGAACGTTAATCAAATTGGAAAAAATCAGTGACCTCTCCAGATAATTTCAGATAGTTGATTTCTTTTGGTTGCAAGTCTAGTCGTTCAATCAAATTGACCATATCCACTGACTTTGCGGCAAAATGATTCCTTGAAATTAATCTGCAACTTTAAGTCGCATAACACAGTTCTGTTAACGCTTACGTTCACTGAATAGTTTTACTTATAAACTAAATCATAAACAGTGAAAATACTGAAGCTTAAAAATCAACACAATAATAAAAGACTGAGAAACTATCATTTTTATGTGGAATCGAAAAATTGACTATTAAAACCACTCAGTTAACAGCGTTCCGTACTCAGCTTTAGGATTTTGCTGCAAATAAATGTTTACGTACAAAAAACATTTAAATCAAGATTTAAAATTGGCCGAATAATTTTGGTGCAAAGTAACCAGTGATGATGTAAAAAACATCATGAGTAAAACATTGGTACTATACGACATCTTTAATATAAACAGAATGTACTGAAATATTTACACTGATGAAAAATTAAAATATAGCTTTGTGATAACAAAGTGAACATAATAAAGGAGCAACAGTGAGATGAGAAATTAATAAAAGGATGAAGTAGAGAACTCACATGAAGCAAATATTTTCACAAATTATCAGAATCCCCAATAACAATATATTAATCTTTCCTGTGTTAATCAGATTTTTTGACATAACACGGAACTGTGAAGATCTTTTCAGGACTTCTTTCTTCAGAATTTAATTATCAGAAAGAAAGAGAAAATTGCTAAGTATTAAATCTCGGAAGACAAACACAATCATTTCTCATCCGAACTCATGTATCATTTTCATGCGGTAAGAACTACATTTATGTTAAACACATTTTTTGAATAAATATGAAATGCTTTGACTCGAGGTAAACTAGAAAGCCATACGATAATCTGGAAAGAAAACTAGACCAAAATAAAAGTCTTATGTTTATGCCAGCATAAATTCCACAATCATACATGCACTTCATCAGTTTTTATAAATTTGCCATTTCTTGGTAAAATACTGTTATCTGCACTCATTCTGAAAAAATCCAATAACTATAACAGACACTAAAAAAAAAGAAGAAAGCACTGAATATAAGTAATGTTTGACATGAACCTGCAACAGTGAAAAACCGCAAAGAAATTGTTTTAGCCACCAACTAATGTACCCAGTTTTATTTTATATGCGCTCGCTAATCATCATTAACTAGTATTCAATTGATAAATAAAAATAATAGAGCACTATTTACAATAACAAACACTGACCTAGGTAATATTTCTTCCTTCATTTCTTTTGTGTGCTGCTTCTTGTTTGGTGATTCAAACATTGGAAGATTAGCTTTCAAATAATTCAATGATTCACTATAAATACATTTTATAGTCAACAGCAAGTGCTAGTAATAGTAAACAACTAATATTTCTATGAGGTATATATCTTAGTTCTGTATGATGTTCTCAACATTAATTCTCTGTCCTTTTATATTATTCAGAACCTCTTTCTTTACATTTCAACTACTCCTCTAGAGTCGCAATAATCATAATGACTGAGCTATACCCATCAATACACAAAAATTAACTTTGCACGCTTCAGCAACAAACCATTCGGTTCCAATAAATTACCCAGCAACTTATACTCAAAAGCAGGCAACGGAGCATTTGGATGCAATGCACGATACTTCATGGCTTTGCAAACATTTTGCAGCTTTGGATTGGGTACATCACGTGGACGTAGAGACTCCTCAAACAGTCCCGTCTCCGAGTTACTAAATTAATTTAATCGATTAATTTACCCTATATCATCAAGTTGATTATATTCACATATTTTGTGTTTCTTTTAAAACCACTCAGTTCGTATACAAACCGTAATTTTCAAATGATTTCTTACTCATACTTTGATAAAAAAGTAAAATTAAGCGTACAAATGAGCCTTTGTGAGATCCATTGCTTTAACAAATGCAAGCATTGCGTCCAGATGATCACCTAGAAACCAAAATCATAAATGTTTGTAAGTAAGTTATGCTTTGATACATTACTGGGAAATTAAAATTCTCCAGTAAAACGCAAAACAGAGTAGATGCCACATTAAAAAAAAGTAATTTTCATGCTGTCTTCTACTACAGAATATAACATTCAAGCAACAATTTATAGAATCTACAGTGATAATCCCAATTCATTTACTCAGTTTTAAACACTCATCTTCTTGTAAAACTAATGTATAATTTATACAAAAATCTGACACACTATTCCCTAGAGATATGATAACTGACGCGGAACAGACGTATTTTGCGCAAAAGTGACGTGGGCATATCAATAAGAAAAAGCGTAGTCGCAAAAAGAAAAATATAAAATACTTTTTGGTTCAGTTCCAAGACTATCCAGTTGTGGGAAATCAAGTCCACGAAAATCTTCATAAAATGGTAATTGAATACCCACAAACATCTAAAAATGAAGTTAATCAATACATAAGTAGAAGAAAGAGAAGATTCAAAGAAAAAGTATGGGTTCAGTTTTTGGAAAGAAAAGATAAAACAACAACTCAAATCAAATGGCTGTATAAGAAGCGGCCCATTTTCGTTATTAATCATCATTAAGAAAATAAATATTCCTCATTTCATACAACATACATCGATCCCTTTTTTACTCCTTCTTGGAAATAGTCCCATGATTCGCGGTTGTGACGCAGCATTGTAAACATATCGAGTTAGAGCAACACTATCTTCAGCGATCATCGCATTCACAAGCGCTGATATAGCAATGCATGCATTCTAAAATGTTAGCTCAAAGTTACAATAAGGAAAGCATAAATTCATTAACTAATGCCACGACACAAATTACCTTATCATGATCCGGTGGAATAAAGTAATAGGTGCCACCATCCATCAAATAATGCTCCAATATCTGAATTAGAAATTAAGTTAACTGAACATCAATTACATTAAAAAATATAAACGAAAATATGATTCCTTCCATTTTTACACTACAAATTTCTTTATGAAATCCATTGTAAATATTTCAGCGTTTGAAGTGGCAAGAAGTATGAGAAGACAAGTCGACATATGTACATCGGAAAGCAAAAAAAAACACTTCACCACCACCACTGGCAATAAATGCTCCACGTAAAACAAGTCAGTTCAATAGTGAGATGATTCCATAACGAATTAAATTAAAATAATACAAGATAAACTGGCTTTGAAACAAGTTTGATTGTTAGTCATCAAAACTGTCTTTTTCGTTTACCTGAGATTTTTTCGTAAACTGTATGAGCTTTAAGCAACGATTTTCTTGTTTCCACCCGTATTCTTTTTGATCTTCTTCATTATAAGAAACAATTGTTGTTCCGAATTTATATCCTGCAACCAGGAAATCATTTCATGTATTTTTGAGACTGTTTAAAGCTGTTGGGAAACCCAGCTGCAATAAAATAAGTTCATTTATCTAAGTTTCAGTCGCCAATTGATGCTTACGACAAAATGTTTTGAATGCTAATATAGAATTTTGAACCAAGTATAAAATATTGGAAATTTTGCGAAGTCAATAATCTTCGGATTGAAGAAAGATTCTCAAAAATATAACATGAACATTTAATATGATTATGAGAATTCCTTATACGCAAAAATTATAACAAAACAATACCTTTTACAATTTCTCCTTCAAACATTTTAGAACCACCCTGAGATAAGTCACTACTGCGGCCATCATCAACATCTACTGAGGTTATACGATCTTCAACTTCCTCATCTCTTACATATTTCTCATACACTGTTTTGCGTTTTAGCTATAAAAAACAATTAATAGCATCCCTCTGCACACTGCAACCAAAAAAGTTCAAATTTTAATGAACATACGAAAATTACCTGGATGTCGGTTGTCGATGTATACTTTTCTGCAGCAAGTTTGAAATCAGTAGTCTGAATCTTTTTGTACATTTGTAAAGGCACTTTCAAATCAACCCCCAGTTCAAGATCGAATTTTTGACTACGCAAGTTCACTTTTCGAGGTACGAAACGTTGCAGCGCTAGCAAAGCTTCACTAAATCAGTTACAAATAATAAGCAAATATTGAAAAAAATAGAGTAAAAGCGAGTGAGTTTTTCTTTCTTTTAAATTGATTATCAATAAAGATCGAAACTGACGCAAAAGAATAAATGACACCATCAGTTTGTTTCAATATATTTGTCATTATACATTCGGCTGATTCCATTTTGAACGATCCCACTGCATTAAACAATTTTTCTTCTGGTTTCATATCTGACTCTCCACTTGAAACGACTTCTTCCTTAACTTTGCTTAGTCTTCCAACTGATGGACCTCTGGAATTAATTTAGGATTTTATCCTCGAAGTGGATTTTGAAGATCAAAAATCTAATTAAAGCCTTACATAACACTGAAATTGATTTCAAGTGCTTTCAAGCCATTTATAATGGCTTCTATGCACTCTTTGTTCACATTTCCGTCAAAACCACCCAGATTTGTTACCAAAAGAATGTTTCGTGAAGTAATATTCCTTTCCTGATAGTTTCCCAGATGTTTTTGCATATAATCTAGCGCTACAATTAGCGCAGCTAGGACTGAAAATAGATATTTAAAAATTACGAATTTTCGTACAGCTCATTTCATCTCCTAAAATTAAAAGAAATAATGGGAAATAAGAAATGAGGCGCAGCGCGAGACCAAAAAGACTGTGAGATAATGCAAAAAATTTTTGCAGAATCAATGAGCAGCGAATGTGATGAAAATTAGGAAGCAATAACTCTGACTAAATAACTTGTATAATACCTTCTGTTATCTTTTTAGATGCTGTGCATATTACAAGCTTGAAAGTATCAATCAAAAGGCGATTCAACCTATCGATATCTTGTAAAACACAATATACAAACTTACAGTCACCAGTAATTGATTTACTAGGCTTGATTTCTTTATCAATAAGTCGCAACCAATCAATTTTGGCTTGCTGCATCTCTTCTTCACAAAAAAAGATATTTTCATCATCTGTAACTGGATTCTGCGTTACCTCTGAACCGAAAAGCACCAACGTAAAATCATCAGTTGATTCGGTGAATATCTTTAAAACACAAACAATTTGTCTGGAAATACAGAAGCACAGAGATCACAGAAAATGAATCAAATTATTGTGTGGAGCATATGTATCATTTTGCTTTTTCTCTTCCTGTCGCGTCAGAAATGGCAGCCACAAACAAACTTTAAAATTTACAATTTACACAGACTTACCGACTTTCAAATTCCCATCGTAGTGACTGCTATATGATATGTTCTTTTATTAATGCAAAACACGAAAATGTATGTGCAAAAATTAAAATTTAGCATAATCAAAAAAGATATCAATGGCCAATAAAGCACAGCTCAAACTGTACAACCCGTCATCAGATGCTAGTTCATATCTCGCAAGAAATTGTAGCAAATAGAACTAATAATCATAACCAAGAAACGGCTTTTGCCACAGTACAACAGAGCAGTTGATATGCTGAAATAATCTACAACTCCATTATTTTACTCGAAAATTTAATAAAATATACCTTTCTTGTTATGATCCATTCTACAGCATCCTTTGCTAACTCCATGTCTGTGATTGCAACTCCTTCCTTGTTCATATTTGCCCCAACATCAACCAAAATTACAGTACATTCATGTGATGCTTTTCTGGCTCGTTTTTTTGGACGATTATCATCCGACATTCTGAAAGCTTTGATTTAAACTGAATTAATCAGAAAACATTCTTATCACCATGAACTAATTCTCAATTTCTGGGCCAAACAAAACCTTTCTGGTTTGCAAAAAACAACCTTCTCGACTCATGGGAATGCATTAGAGCCTTTTTCTACACCAAATATAAAACATATAAAGCATTATGTTGAGAACATAGTATAAAGAAATAACATCAGTGATTCAACAAACTTTAAAACTAAGTGCATTGAAATAAAGCAAGCAAGCTTTTACTAATCGATTAAATTACAACACGAATTAAGATTGCATGAATATCATGAAAGCTTCTCGATCCAATTAAATTTCGCTAGCCCTGCACACAATTCGGTCCATAAGCGGACCACTATATTCACCCAATGGCCTGCCGAAGTATTTTGAATCTGTTATAAACTTAACGTTATCCAAACCTCGTTCACTTCTTTTTATCCCCAACCTGAAAAATGCAACCGTAAGAATGTGAAAAGCCAAGAGGCATAATGAGACATAAGAAGCATGAGAGCATAAAAGTCAAAACACGGCAAGACATAATTAAGAATGTAAAAGTAAAAAAATTCTGCGGAAAAAATAGCGCAATTGAAATTATATGATCAATAAAACCAAAGCTACACCACAGCAACTCATCCATTAAGCCAGAAAAGTCAAAAGCTATAATTTATGCAATAAAGATAGAGCAGAAATTCTATGCAAAGAGACACAGCAGACAAACAACCAACCTACTTAGCAGACGATCTGCATAATGAGGTACAACTGGCTGTAATAAAATTCCGCAAATTCGCAACACTTCATAACAGGTATATAACAAAGTAGATACCTGGAAATGAATTAGTAATTTGAATAGATTACTAGATTTCAAATGTTAAAATAATTAATGTTAGTGAGTACTAGGTTTGGATAACTGAAATTAAAAAAGCAGCCTTTCTATCGTCCAGTTCTTTCCATGGTTCATGGGACTGAAAAAAACCATTTGCTTGCCGCGCAACCTCCATGAGAAGTTCGAGAGCTTTATAAATCATTAATTCCTCAAATTGTTCTTCGTATAATCCTATAATCCAGCTTTTATATCTCACATTTACTAGGTCCAAAATGTATAAAAATATAAGAATATGTTTCCCACATTGATTTCTTGAAAGCATGAAAACTTAAAGAGTCCATTCTTAATTATTTATAAATATAATGAATGTGACTAATGTGATTACTGTAGGAAAGTGAAAGAAAAATCTTAATTGTTTATAAATATAATGAATGTGACAACTAATGTGATTACTGTAAAATGAAAAAAAATAAACCAAAGACAATACCTGCCAAACAGTTGATTGACTTTATCATTGGTTCACCTAATTCTAATAAACTATTATGAAATGAGTCCGGATAAAATGCTGGATATGTTTGAGACGGATTAAGCTTTTTGATCATTGAGCGTTGCAGCAAATTTCCAACATTATTGACGAGATCCGTGTTGATGACATTGACAGCTTTTGACATTATGAAATCTGTCATACATGAAGACAAATAATTATACTTTTCTTTTTATTTTGGTGGAAATTTTTAAATGATTCATAGAGATTCTAAGTTTTATAAAAAGTAAAACAAAACACCCGAAATTTTTATTCAAAATAAAAAGAAACCGACTTGCATCACTTTGTGGAGTTCCTTGTCGAAGCAAGAAATACCTCAATCCCTCTTCAGATAACGATCTGGCTGCAATAAATGGATCAACCACATTCCCAACACTTTTTGACATCTGCAACAATAGCTTTAAATTAATAAGTAATAAAAATGTGAGAGGAATGATAGAAGAAAACATGCTTGAATATTCTACGACTAGAACATATAAAAGAAGGAAACCTTAGCTCCATCAACAAGCCAGTGACTGTGGACAAATATGCGCTCCGGAAGAGGAAGATCGAGTGCAAGTAAAAATGCCGGCCAAATAACTGCATGAAATCTTTCCAATGTTTTAATATTGGAAAAGAATTTTTGAAAATATTTAATTACATGCAGGAAAAAATAAACAATTCAAAACAAAGAATGCTCAGATGCAATTTTACAAAGCCTATTATATTTTTCCCAAAGCGATTGCAGTGTATTGAAAAACATCGTAAACGCAATTCGAAAAGATTCAATGCAGATCATTATTCTCAGCATTCGCTAGTAACTGTATCATTTAGCATGATTAGTCTATTTTTAGTATTCTAGAGATATGCAGTTCAATTTAAAAATTAAACTCCATACTGAATGATACAGAACATTACCTTCTCTCTCTATACTACTGAACACACTAAATTACAAACTAATAAAAAAACAAGCTAAAGCATTACTTTAAAATATCTTTGCCAACAATCTGACATGTCGGCGGCCAACTTGACTTTTTCTTATTAGAGAAAATACCACTTACTGTTAAATAATTCATTAGTGCATCGAACCAAACATATATCTACAAATGAATTATAAACTGTCAATATTCAAGTGCAAGATGGTGAAAGTGCGATAATATGAAAGTTCAATATTTTTAAGATGAAACAAATGTAAGACACAGTGTAAGAATAAAGGGAGACAGTAAAAACGAAATTGCTATTGCCTGCAATAACCAAACTTCCCAACATTTCCAGTAAAAATAGAATCCGAATAAATTAAAACTTACCGTTTGACTTTCATCATTTGGCACTGGAATACCCCAACTGACTCGCTTTCTATCTCTTGATAGTGAAAGGTTTCCTTCTATGCTTGCTTGTTGAAATGCTTCCGGAAAATAAACCTTAGGACGTATAACATCTGAAAGTCAAAAATGATATTCCTTCCAAAAAAAGTTGCATGGACGAAAACTTAAGAGCAGCAAAAATTAAAATACATAAAAATCACTATAAAAATGAAATTATTCCAAAATTGATTCACGGCTTTTGAACTTACCATAACTACTGAGCCACTTTCGTACCGCATCAAGATATTTATACAAAGGGAATACATAATTTTCTTCTTGCACCCATTCTACAACCGATCTCGTCATTTTACTAACCTAAAATATTTGCGTCAAGAATAAAAACCGAATTAAAAAAAAAACAAAGAAAAGAGTGGACAAAACTTAATTGTTATAAAAATGGAACTGAAAGGAAAGAAACGAGAATCTTGTACTACTTGGCTCAAGACATTCATCAGTCACAGTTCTTTTAATTGCATTAGTCACTATGTCGTTATTTTCAATACCATAGCGCACGCATCACTCAATAAAAACAAAACAAAACTAAAATCAAACCACATAAGTTTGTCCATTCAATTTTTCTACTTCATCGCTGGCATAAAAGCATTCATCAGTAGTTGAATACCAGCCCTCATGTTTACCCCGATGTATTTGACCTCGCTTATCCAGTTCTGTCTAAATCATACTTTCTCAATAATTTTTCACTGTATCAAAAAAAACTACGGACTAAACCAATTTTTCTTCTATTCATTCTCATCACCTTCTTCTAGATAACTTGAGATATTCCCTCCTGAAGCAGTTACGCCCGATACGTATCTTCATCATCAACGAATTTTACAATCATTTGCATTAAAAATTGTTAAAAATGCCAAAGAAATTGGAAAATCTTTACCCAGACATGTTCAACAACTTCTTTGTGCCGTATTTCAGTGGTCCGGATAAAATCATTAGGTTGTATACCAAAGGCGCAAAACAGATCTTTGAATTTATTGCTAATGTTATTGCAATAACTTAGTGGATCATAGTCGGCTGCTGTAGCAGTTCGCTGGATCTAAAATTAGATGAAAGAATTATAAAAAGATTTCATTATAGGATGAAAAACAAAATAATTAGATTAGCAGTAAAAGCAGTGGAAATTTATTCTGATGTTCTGGGCATTAGAAAACTACGAAACTTTGAAGAGATCGTAACTTATAAAAGACATTTTTAAAAAGCAATAGAAAAGACTGAAAACGTGTTGGCGTCAAAAAATACCCTGCTACTATTTCATCTTGATCGTCTTAACTGAATTTATTCAAATTTACCTTTAAGCCATGTTCATCAGTTCCCGTTGTGAACAAGGAATCATTCGAATCACCATTACCAGCCTTTAATAGCTTCCAACGATTTGAAGCATCTGCTAACAGCGCAGTGTAAAGATGACCAATATGTGGAGCTACAAAATTCATAAAATTAGATACTGATGAAAACAACCAAATTCATTGAATGATTGCTTAGCAGAAAAAAGAAATGTCAAAATCTAAAGCACTCGGTAAAACAACTAACGTCCATTAGCGTAAAATATCGGAGCAGTTATGAAGTGTTTCAGTCTCATAGAAGCCATTGGAATTCCTTCAATGGCACATAACGTTTTGATACTACCAATCATTAGATACAAACATCTGAAAACATAATAAGAAGACAGCTAGGGATAATTTTAGTCAGTTTTAGTTCGATGACAGCACCAGAACCATCTAAAATCTTATCACTATAGGTGTTTACACCATTCAATTATATGCATCAAAAAAGTTCAGCCCACTTATTGAAGAAAAAAACAAAGACATGAAATACGATAAAAGACGTGATGAACCGTAAGACAAGAAATCAAATTTCTGAAACATTTTTATTGACAGAATTATATCTATTAACATTAAGATATGATGTATTTACAACATGCAAAGAAATCATGATTAGGTTTATATCAGATAAAAAACTGAATAAACTTCAGCAGCTAACCAAGCCAAATAAAAGAATGGCGCGCAACAGCTATGATACAAGCTAAGTAACAAAAATTGGTGTATAAAACAAAAAGATAAATTTGAAAAATTGCAAAGCCCGAGTTTCAAATTATGTTAAATATTCGCACATTTCAAGAATCTGGAAATTGCCGCTAATCGAAATTGCCACTAAATATTTGCTTTCTAAATAAAAGGATCGGTACACCGTGCACTGCAACGTTAACAATTCAAAAATACACTCTCTAGCAAGAACTTCATAAAGTATGTTTAATAAAAACAATCAAGGAAGAAATATTTTTTGAAAATGCCTATCTCCAATTTCAGATTAATTCTGTAGAAGCTGAAAATATTTTGAATCAGTTAAGCAATTAATTATATACAACTTAGCACTTGGAACTCACTATGCCGCCAGGTTTACTTTCTTCCAATAACTTCACGTCATCGTAGATTTTGTTACGCAAAAATTCTTGCTCCATTTCCACTAGCGAATGACCTTCATCTATACCACACTCAATAATGTATTCCTTCATTAGTTTATTTTCTAGAAAAGCAGCGACTTTATCCGGATCACGTAGTTCTCTGATTTCTAATGGTTTCTTGGCGAATATCAACTGATATTCTTTGTTTGTCTTTCCCTTGATATATTCCATCTGCAGCAAATAGTTATTTATTAAATTAAATTTATTAAATTTTTGCAAGCAGCTTTTGTTTGAATAGGATAAATTTGGTTATCGCCAAAATTTTTTTTTTCAAGCATGGAAAACTAATACTTAAATTACATATTTCAGACATAATAATAATAATAATAATGTACGCTATCAAAAACTAAAAGATTGTTAGAAAAACTTCTATGTGCTAACATCATCTCTTTTTTAGCAAAATGAAATCGACACACTAAAACCCAACATGGCAAGCTGGACTATCCAAACCTTAATAATTCTTGATAATTTTGCTTTTAATAAAAACTCCATTTCTGAGGTTCTTACGAAATAATTTTTTTCAGGTTCAACAGAACTATGTAAGCGACTTTAGAAGATCAATTCAGCAAATTTTTCTCAAACAAACCTTACTCTAATATCCGAAAATCCAGCGGGTTCCAGTTCAAAAATATATCGAGTTGGGTCAAACTGCCGCCGCCTTATCAACTTCCCTTTTTTCAGCAATTCTAACCTAAAAGGAGACTACCAATTGCACTTGTATCTTAAGATTATGAATATTAATTTTGACTATTAATCTGACTGAAAATTTCCATGATTTTATTCTTATCAATCAAATTATTTGAAACAAACTTTTCCAAATGCATGCCGGAGAGGAAGGTACCGCCGGGTTTCAGCACTCTAATTATCTCAGTTAGTGTTGCTGGCAAATCAGACGTCCAAAAGTATGGTGAATGAACATGAAATATTTTGTCGAAAAAATCATTGTTGAATGGCAAAAGTTTTGCATCCAATACCTAAGTGCAATAAAGAAAGATAAATGATAAATAAGCTCTTATAAATGCAGTTACGAAAACGACCGTAACAAGCAACAGACGAAAATGTTGAACTGGAAAATCATTTTGAGAAAAAAAGACTTGCTTCATTAAAAACAATCCGTTTTTCCTCCAATGCACTCGTAGGAAAACGTCTTCGAACTGTTTCAAATAATGAAGCCCATCTATCTACACTGTATATTGTTCCTCTGCCCTCTCTTATATTCTTGTAAGAGCACAGCACACCTGAACTTCCTGATGTAATTGGAATACTTCCAGAATTGGTAATTATCTGATACCTTTACTGAAGAGTCCTTTAATGATCCAATAATGCAAACAACGTAAAAATATAGTACAATATAATACATAATGATTTATAGAAATGCCGAACGAAAAAAAATTGCTCCTTTCCTATTTTGGAAAGGAACGAAATAGAAATTCAGTAGGCTGAAAGATTACGTTAATTATATTAAAACAAACCATCGCCGAACCCAATTCCAAGTTCTAGGACTTCGTCATCGGGTAATATATTCAACGCCTCAACAACAGCATTCATCAGAAAGGGTGATTTCCAAGCCAGCAATCCCGACATGTACATCCCATCAGCTGCATCATTCGGAGTTGCTAACTGCAAAAAAAAAATATTAACTAAACTAAACACAATGCTCACATATTTTGATTGAAAGTGCTCAAATGTTTATACTATAAATTAAAAAAAGTAGAATTTACAGACGAATTATCCAATTTGTACAGTTTCTTTTCTAGTTGTATTTTGAAATTATATTAAAACAAATCGCTGTCAAATGAAACCTCAATGAGCAAGCTTTTTAACCAAATAGATAACTTATATGCATATCATATTACATATTTACAGATCGCATCATGTCACACGCCATTATGTGAAGAAATAATGTTACGGATACCGTTAATAACTTGACGTCATTTAAGTAGAAAGTAATTTGATTCGATGTTATAAAGAGGATATCCAATACAAGATAGATACCAAAAGTTCTAATGCTCTACGCCACGTTATAGAATATGAAATTATACAAGTCCTCATTATTAAATATAAGTTAACGGTATATGCCTTGTGGCGAAGAAGTCGAATAATTTTTATGATGGATGACATGCCCACAGTAGTTCACTTCATATTTATTCTCTAATCTGCAAAATTTTTTCTAGCATTAAAGTTAACAAAAATGTAATTGTTGAATAATGAATACGCAAATCGAAAAATTTGAACTTCACGGTTGATTGCATATATCGGATTCAAAAAACTAAGTTATCTTCAAGTGATCTTTTATAATTAAGAACTAACTGTTCAAGTATTTTGCGTGACGTGGGACAGCAAAATTAGCTGTTCAAATTCAAAGGATGTCATCGAAGCTTCCAGAATGAAAACAGACCAGATAAAGTGATAGCAAATAAATGTTGCAAAAAACACGGCGTTATTAATTTTTCGGAAACTTACTGAAGTTCAAAAAGTGAAAATACAACAGCATACATATGTTTAAAACTATATAAGACACGCAATATCATAACTAGAAAGGATGTAATAATGACACAAACACACACACGTCTACCTTAACAAATGCAGAAATGGCCCTTATCTCTTATCCCTAGAATCTTATACAATATCAGGTACGTACCACACACTTTATCAACACGTTTGACAGTGACATGTAAAAATGATACTAAGAATGGAGCTCTGTTATACTCTTCATTCTATCAATATATTGCCTCTTTTAAAAGCCTCATCACTCTCTGCAGTCTACTTCATCGTAATGCTATTCTCACCTTCTCAATATTAGAATTAGTATTCTAAATTCTTAATTCAGAAGACTTGATAGATATTATCAATTCTCGATTGTTTCTTTATTATGCATCCATTATATCATTATCAATCACTAACCAGTACTATTTATGCTATCTGTCATATCTCATCGAGCTCTTCTACCTCTTTACTATTTCTTAAAGAAAAAGGTCTCTGTTGCGAATAGTTATTTACATTTCATAGCAGCCATCTTGCGTTGGTCACGAGTTTTTTAAGTTGGTGGGGGGGCTATTTTGATCGTCGATTCTATAAGTTTTTGAGTGCCGGGATGACCATTTAGAATATTCTTTCGGGCCTTTTATCATTCATTCTAATCAGAAATCATGTATTGACATGTTTTTGGCATGTTTTTATTCCGGCTTTTACGTCGCATTAGTTATTCGTTGAAAAAATCGGGTTTGAAAGGTATTGGTTCTGGAAATTTTTTGAAATGAAACAAGCAGACTTATTCTTAATCAATTTTCCCTATTTGCATTTTTTGTACTAAGTTACCGTTAGTTGTTTCTACGCCTAATTGTCCGACGGATTTTATGCGTGATGCATTCATCTTATCTCTTTAAATTAAAATCTGAATTTAATTAATGTGGATTCAACTGTATATACTATTAAAACATTGGCAAAAGATTGTTGGACAGCATTGTAGTATATTTTGTAGGAAAACGTTAAATGCATTACAGAAGACACATCACTGCTCTTACATCACAACTCATATTTTGTGCCCTTTGGTAATTTAGCACTGGCTAAGTATGTTAGGTGATATGTCTTTGCTGTTTATCTTTTTTTTATCACACTTATATTGTTAGTTTTTGTTCAGTTATTAGTGCATACATGCTTCTTGTTTATAAGTTCCGGTTTTGTCTTCTCCATTTTGCAGATGCTTTAATCGCAGTGGAAAATTCCAATAGGAAAAATGAAAACTGTCCATTGAATATCAAAAGAGATGGATGGAAGCGAAGAGATTAACTTAAACAATAGACCCAAAATTCAAGTCGGGAGCAGTCAAGGTGATGGCTTCGGTACTAGTGAGGAACCTGAAAAGAACTTGAACGAAATGATTGCGAGTGATGGAGAAGTTCGTTTTTTTCTTTTCTACGATTTGAATAAATTTGACGGTGATAAGCTCTATGATCAAAGTATACGCAATCAATTTTCGCTATTTTTACCAAAATGCGATAACTGCATACATAAATAGAAATAGCTGCATTCAAATCAATATTTTTTATTGATTGCTCTTTCAATTATATCGCAATTACCGAAAAATGAAAATGCAGTGTTAAACTGTTTTCGACGTATTATTAAGATTTGCACATAAGATTCAGGAGATGAACAACAATATGCTTTCAATACTTAGTACTATTAAGGAACAATTTGCATCAAACTTAAAACAACAAATAAAACCTTCATGTTATTTGTAAGAATGTAAAATATGTTGTCATTTCTAGTGTGGCAAATGCGAATCGCGTGAATCGCCAGAACCAGAAGTGGATGCTCAGATACTTCAGCGTGCAATACAGAAGCTTTACAGCGATCCTTCTTTTGCAGTCATTTGCAGTTTCTTCAATAAATTCGCTGTCTTCCTGGGCTTAAAACCGCAATGCTTTGCCAAAATGGAAAACATGTTTGCCAGTTTTCACGTTACAGGCAAAGGTATTTACCATGTTTTTGCTAGGCTATGAAAAACTGTGGTAATCTGACACAGGACTGCAGTATTCAATATAATCATTATTTGAATGCCATTCTCAGACGATCATATTCGCGTTGGCGTAATTAGCATTGCTGTATCTTCATTATGCAGTAGGCGCTTATTGAATGATTAAGTAACCAAATTTGTAGATGTTAAAAACGGCCATTGATTCAATGTTGTCTTGTTACATTATGACATTTTTTAATTTTTAGTTGATCGGGATTTGATCGATTTACACTTAATGTTGATGCGAAAATTAACATTTAAATCAGCAAGATTGGAAGTATGGGAGAAATATCTTCTGAAATTCTGCTCTCTTGTTCCTTCTCTTGAAACTGAGTATCTGCAACTGGAACGATACGGTTATTTACACACAACTGCAGGCACGAAGCTTGCAATTCTCAAAGCGTTATGCGAAAGTCAATTTGACTTCAACGTTAAATTTAAGGAAAGTGTAAGTTATATATACGGTTCTAGAGAATTCAACACAGTGTATAGAAAAATGAAGCAATACATAGATGCTTTAAATTTATTTTTATTTCATAATTTCTGCTTGCTTATTTATAACATAAGTATTTTTTTAATTCTTGTTATTTCACAATTTAACATTTCTATTTGACATTGTTTTTCAGTTATTAAATTCTTGTGCAGCAAGTGATTTACGCCTTTTGCCTATCGGTTATGACAAAGAAGGTCTCGCTTACTTGTATCAGCAAGATGCTGATTTAGTTATTCGTATATATTCAGCCGAACAGGATGATCATTCGGGCGGCTCATGGAAACTTGTTGCCAAGTTAGTTTGTTTTCACGTGGAATATGTACCTACCGTTACAGCTTTGTATTTGATTTTGCATTTATGGAAATATGGAGAACGCAATAAAAATGACCAAAACGTCCTAAATTGAAAATCTTTTCTGGTCATAAAAGCTGCGATATACATGGATTCTTGATAGTTGTTGGAGATCGTCATTAGTAGAAGCACTGCAAATTAATCACTCTTCTAGATTTAACGTGCTAACACACAGCATTTTTTTGATTTTCGAAGAAGAAAAATATTTATTTTTTATTACAGCTTAAATTGTTTGTTTTCTTTCCTTAACTAAGCAGGACAATTAGTACAGATCAGATTTCATTCGTAGAGAGTCTTTGTTTAAATTTAATTCCAAGGTTTTTTGAAGTTTAATTGAATATCTGTGAGATTTTTAAGGTGTAAGGAAGAACTAGAAAATTTGGTTATGGAATTAAAAAACAGACTTGCTTCAAAATATTTATCCAATCTGCAAAAACAGCATGAAGGTTTGCAATTTTTTTTTACCATTGAAGTACGTCTCAAATTTATTGTACTATATCAGCGATATATCGACTCAGTTACGTCAAATACCATTTAGCTTAGATTCTTGTCAGACAGTGGAAACTATACCGATTCTTGGCGTTTGGAATGTACGATAGTTATCTCTGATGATTTTGTTTAATATAAAATTTATTTTAAATATAGGATTTTTAGATTCATTACCAACTCCGGCTGCAGTTGAGACGGACGAGCAGACTAATGTTTCATCTTCATTTACAACAAAAAGAGGTGCTTTACTGGATACTTATCAGGACGAGTCTGCAGTCAAGGTACGCAAAATGCTATTTCACTTTTTCTCACTTATTTTGTATATGACTTAATTTATATTAATTTTTAATAATAACAGAAAAAAATCGTGAAACCGAGTCAAATGAGGAAAAAAGCGGCTGTTGAAGAAGAATCAAAAAAAGAAAATAGTGCACCACCAATAGAAATCACAGAAGATATTCCTGATGAAGTAAAACCATTCGTAAGTCTTCACTTTATTTTGGTAGATGTATTATTTTAATGTGCCGAAAACATAGTTTCGTATCATATGCTAAATTGCCTTTTTATATCTAATTTTAAATTTTAAAAATTTACATTTTCAGCTCGATCGTCGTGTCCTACCACGCAGAAGTGCCCGTAGTGCTGCAATAAATCAGTTGAAAGAGTTGACTGCTCCGCTTAAACCTCAGAGTGGTAAAAGGAAAAATCAACAAAAGAAACAATTGGAAATAGAAAGTGCAAAACAGCTGAAAATTCTTGACAAAAATGTAAATTTCGTTGATCCCCTCGTTTTTTTTTTAAAGTGAATGTATTATCCAAAAATAATTGGGCCAATATTTCAGAATGATCAGGATGATAGCGAAGATAATGATGAAAATGAAAAAGATGATAATGATGCTGATGATTTTATATTAGCAGAAACTTCGACCTCTTCTGATGATGACTTCATGCCGCTTTCCGAACTGAAAAAGAAGAACCAGAAGTAATTTCATTTGGACTCATATACTTAGATATAATCTTTGATTAATTAATCATTGCAAAGATTATATGTGGACGTATAATCAGCTTACAGCTCAAGACGTCGCCGGGGTAGAAAAGCAGCTGTGGAAAAAGATCCATTTGAAACGGTAGAATCAGAAGAAGATGAAGAGAGCGATGACGGCCAAGAAAAGAAGTCCAAGAAAGAGCGGAAAAAAGCTACAGAAGAAACACTTTGCGTGAAATGTAGTAAAAGCTCAAATCCAGAAGTGGTAATGCTTTTTCTTGGTTTTGTTTTTCGTATATGGAATGCGGAAGTGAATTTAGATATTTTAACTTTTATGTTTCATTTCTGAAATATTTGTAAATCTCTTGTGATAATGAACTTGGGTATTTTAATATAGACGGCAATTTGTTGATACTAACAGCACCAGAACATTGCAGAAAGTATTCTAAAAATATCGTCCTAACCAAAAGAATACTATCGGCGAATTATCTGAGGGATTAAGGGTTCGGTGATAGCTTCAGAAGTTTTCTCTGCATGGCTCATTGGTAATTTGCTACTATTGCTGAGGAGCAGACCAATGTTCTGATATCACATATATACCTTTTAGTTGCTGTTGTGCGATTTATGCGATGAAGCTTGGCATACCTGGTGCTTACATCCAATATTGTGGTACGTACCAGATGATGACTGGTTTTGTCCAAACTGTCAGCAAGCGATGCTAATTGAAAAATTCTCCGAAGTGCTGGTTGTACTTGCTGAACAAGTGAAGCGTAAAGCTGCTGAAGACAAAAAGTAATTTTTTTGCAAAATAATTTTTTTTTGAAAAAAATTCTGTAGAGAAGAAAGCGAGATAACATCATGCAAGAAAGCAATGCTATTATTAGCTAACATTCTTATTATTGTCGTTTCAAACTCAGGAAAGAAGCGGCCGCAGAGAGATTGAAACGCGAGATGGAGTATATTGGTGTATCGTTAAATAACATCATTGATACAGTACGTTCTCTTTTTTAATCTTTATGTAAATATATCACTTCTTTCAGTTTATATGCTGAAGATTATCTTAGCATTTCACAATAATAGCTCTATGTGAAGTTTTATAGATTGACTTATTTTTGTTTTTATAGGCAATTAGCGTCCAATAAGCACTTAAAAGCTTAAAGTTTTTGGCAATATGAGAGATGGACACATGGGTATAAGATTTGCAAGATCTTAAGCGATGAAATTAGTGAAGCCATGAATTACAATTGTTGTCCAAATGTACAAGTTTGTTTTCAATATCCTAAATGGATACATTTCAATTTCCAGGTAAGAGATACAAAAGTGGAAAGCTCTGAGTCGTCAGAAGAATCCGATGAAAATGATGGCGAACGCAAATCAAAAAAGAAAGCAATTAGGTAAATTTATTTCAGTTCTTTTCAGCAAAATTTTTTTTTTTGTTGGTCACAGCTTATTTTTTATTGAACGTCTTGATGTGTTTAGGCGTCTTGGTGTCTATCCACAGAAACCAGTTGTCCCAATAGCACTTTCACGATCAAGACGACAAGTTGCCAAAGTTGACTATAAGTTTGGTGCATATGATGAATTAATCCAGGTATTTAAGTAGATTTTTAGTCTTTTTTGCTTCATATTGGATACAATCTCTAACCATGTGTAGTCATTAAGATCAGATAATATTTAGTAAAAGATTTTTTCGCAACATTCGTTGTGAATGGAAAAAGATATTTCTTTTACAGGAAGCTGTGAAAAATATGGATGAACCGCCAGCAAGGCAAATTTGTCCAAGTATGTCTTTATTTTTCACTTTTTTTCCTATATTTGAAGTTAAATCCTAACCTTGTTTGACAGCTTAAAAATGTTTGTGTAAAACTTACAGGTAGTGTGCGACCGAAGGGCGGAGCTGGACGCGGCAAAGATATGTCAAACATCATAAATGCTGAAAATAAGCGGATACCGAAAAGTGTGGAGGATAGTTACCAAGATGATGGCCTTGAAGGGTAAGGATTTTGAACTTATTAAAAGGAAGCGACGATGGGTTTTATCCTCTGGATTTTGATATAATGAAGCAAATTTCATAAGTCCGAGTACATGCTTCCGCATCCTCTGCAGGTCATACCATTCGTATAATAAGTTTATAATGAGAAACTCTGTTTACGAATAGCTATCAAAAACGGATTTTACCTATATGCTCCGATATGTTCTTGCATGAAAATGGTATCAAAAAACACGAAATTTGGCTTGGTATATGCAAATTTTTTTAAGCCATATGCGAATGAAATCAAAAATTGGAAAACCGTCCAGAAGTCGTCATCGATTAAATGATCTAAACGTGGATGAAATGACTGAATCGGATACTGATGAATATGAAGCAAGCGAGTAAGAATTTTAATGTGGAGCTATTGTTTGATATTACATATGCTTCCCTTACTGGAGATAATGTTTCTTTTGCGTTCTACTATTTTTGTTTGATATGTTTTGTTTCCGTTTTTGTTTCTCGATGAATCAATACATCTGACTCATTAATTCATATTTGCTGCAGTTTTTGGATTTTAAATACTGAGGGATGGGATGAATGGTTTGTAAAATGTAATAGGACTGTAAAGGACAACTTCATATTAATAAATTCATAAGTCATTAAAATGTCCAAATATGCAGGATTTAGTTTCTTGTGATTCATCCAGCTCTATTCTGTTAAAACTGTAAAAAAAACTAAAAAGTTATCTTCTTGATATAACTGCTCGTAGAAATACACGGATAAGAAAATGATAGGTGCTTTAAAATTAGCCCAATATGTCACATTGACCATTAGGAATGTGATTTTTTTAAAATGATCGTTAAACCAAGTGTGTGAGTAATTAGTATCTTTTTTCTTAAAAAATTTTTAGACGAACAAATGTTTGATATTATGGGACAAAAATTTATTTATGCATGTGCACAGCAAGAATTTTTCTCGTACGTTCTACAGCAATGATTTTCTTTCAGCAGCGCTTCTGTTTCGGACCCAACAGATGATACCGATGAATACCTGCCTTCTGATACTTCCTTTATAAGGAGGTATCATTTCTATTTCATTATAACCATTACTAAATTGTTCTTATTCCTGATTTTTGTTTATGGTTGATATCAGCAGGCAGTCCTCTTCATGAATACTTTGACAGCGAACTACGCAATTTTCAGAACATCCAAGCGAAATTATTCTAATAAACGAACTCAAAGTGATGACGATTTTGTGGTTTCTGGCTCTGAAAGTGAATACGAACCATTAAGAAAAAAGTCGCACAAGTTAAAAAACACGAAAAAGATAAGTGGAAAGAGAAAACATGAAAAATGGTTAGTTTCTTCAGGATTTATTGCATGAAAATCGATGCATACTTCTTTTAAATTTGAGTAGATAGCTAATATGTTTGATACTGATTTCTATCATAGTTGTGTTAGTAGAATTTTGCTGGAAAACTTTACATTTTTGGAATGAAACGTCGTGTTTTGAAATATCTGGATTACTTTTATCTATTTTAGTCAATTAGCTGGTAATTTATAGTTCAGTAGCTGAAGCTATTGTGTTGAATCGTTGCGGATAAATGGTTTCTTTTTTATGTGGAGTTCAAAGTGGTAGATAATGCCTGTAATTGCTGGTATTTCTTTGATAATGCACATATTTCAATATTGTTTTGTAGGACATCTTCTGATGAAGATTCTACTTCCGAGCGGAGCGACAATTACCAGAGTGAAGAAAGTAGTAGTGGAGACAGGCGCGCAAGGCGACGTGCTGCTACTAAATGGGCACCACGCGCAAGCAGTTCGGATGCGGATTCAAATCATTCAGTGCAAAAGACTGCTGCAGGAAGGTAATGTCCTTTTTTCCGGAAAACATCACCAAAGTAGTTATTGATGCGTTAAGTGATTGAATTCAGAAAAATATTGTTGCTTGAATATATTCATTCAATTAAATTAAAGAATATTTAGGCCGTTAAGGAAAGCAGTAGCAAAAAGACCGAGCCTGACAATGGATAATGGTGACGATGAGGAAGGAGAAGAGGACGAAGAAATGGAAGAGAGACATAAAGATGTTCGTCTAATGGGCTCGGGACGGAAAATTGAAAGGTAGGGAGTGGGGAAAATGCTTTACTATTGTCAGTGAATTTAGCACAACATTCATTAACACTAGTGAAGTATTTTATGGGTTAGGACCATCATCAGATGCCTTTATATCGGGGTAGTTTTTGTCGTAGAGTAATTTCTTTTTCGGGATACATGCCCTACAACAAGCAGATGCCCTACAACAAGCAGAATAATTCCGATGACTTTGCTTAAAGCATGGTTAAATAATGTTGATCTTATATTTATAATTAGTTACAGACTTCGTCTCGCTTTTATTGGTGAAGTTCGCTCTTTAATTGATGGTGAATATATTGCAGTTCTGACGAATTTGAACCAGATGAAGAGGAAGAGGAGGAAGACGATGAAGAGGCGGACGAAGAAACTGTCGATGAGGAGGAGATGGAGGACAAAGAGGAAACATCGACGATTGACGATGAGGAACAGGGACAAAGTGATGAGGAGGAAGATGTAGAAGAAAAAAAAGGAAAGGCAGTGAAGGTTGAAAATGGTGAGGATTGTTGCGTTAAATAATTAACATTCTTTAAAATATTAAAATTTATGTAGTTCTTGAAATAAAAATTTCCAGTGCGTGGTCTGGCGAAACATGTTATTTTCCAGTGCGTGGTCTGGCGAAACACGAAACATGTCAAACATGTCATTTCGTACTCTGTTTATGTTTAGGTGTCGAAGTTGTGAAAGAAGTTACATTCAGTTCGACTAAGGCTTTATCTGTTGACGGTCATGAGAAGCAGACAGAAGATGTGGATGATATCTTTCCTTCAACTTCGGACAATGTAAAGATTATGGTTTAAGATAGATATCATTGCCAGTTTTATGTCTGAGATTAATGCGAATTAGTTTCTTACCTGGATAACCTAATCACTGATTGAGCAGTAATAAGTGAGCACAACCTTTTCGGAAGATTGTATCCGTTTACTTGGAACTGTACTTGGATTACAATTGTTCCGTCGCTATTGTGCTTTTGCACTGAATTTCTGCATTTTTTTAATATCCCCGATAATGATTTATTATCACGTAAACAATATATTGCAGCTTATTGATGAAGCAGCTTGGAAGGTAAAGTCGGAGCAAACTGATCAGGAGGTTTGTGTGTTTGTGTTTTCGTGTTTTTTTTTGATCTTTCGAATTTTTTTAATTAGACATTTGTTCAAAAGAGATTTGTTTCGGAAATTTTTGACAAAAAATTGATTTAGGTATTTTATACTGAAAACGCGAAAACGGAGGATGTAAAAAAAGAGACAAAAGTAGCGGAAAAAGTAGTTGCAAACATGGCAGCTACGACCTCCAATATAACTTCATATGTTCCACCTTCATGGTACATCCCAATTTTATAAATTTTTTCCTGTATGCAAGTCGTGTTTATTATTAATCATTAAGTTGCCTACTAAGGATATTTTATTTTTTATTTTTAACGTACGGTTAGAGTTCATGGTATGTTGTAGTATATTTCAAATGTCAATAAACATCGTATTAATTTTCTGAATTTCGCTGATGATTGTTCTTCTGTTAGAGATAACACATGCTCTGTTTGAAAACCTTTTGTATAGGGGATGGCTGTGATTGTTAAAGTCGCTCAGTATTTTTGCTGTGCAATCAAATTAATTGCAGCTTTCCATCAACCTCAGCAGATCTCTTATCGCTGAATCCATCATCGGTAATGCAGCAAATGGCTCGACTTGCTTCATCGTCAGCTGCACCAATGCAGCAGTTTGATTCCTCAAGTTCTGCGTACCGAGATATGCTGCAAACTACAGCACCTACATTTATTTCTAATGGAGCCCCACTGCAAATCTATTCAGGTACGTATTAGAATTTAGGTAGATTTATTTACCTGATTTCATTTGTTGTCTTAGTTTTATTTGCATTTGAATCCAGATATTTATTTGCATATTTGTCAGCTGAACTTTATGATTATTAAGCACCAGTCGTCTTCTGATGATGGCGCAAATGTATGCCAAATAGGATACCTTAAAAGGTTCCACTATTATCTGTCAAGTTGTTTTTTCTTAGCTCGCTCGTTCTTTAATTGAACGTTATTTTTGCTTAAAACACTTTTGTGTTGTGCAGCTTATTCAAATACTTCGAAATAATATTCATCATATTTATTGCTTAAACATATTCAAAAAATAGATTTTCAGTTCTAATTCTTTAATATCTACCATTTCTCCGACTTTTTTTCAGGTCCAACTCCAGTTACTGTGTATCAGGTGCAGCAACCAACATTTGTGAGGACTCCTTCAGGCATGGTTCAATCCAGCATTGGTCCATTGTCGCAAGGGTGGCCTCCTTATCCACCTCCAAATTCTTTCCCGGCAAAGTTAGTTTTCCTTTTCCATTTTCTTAACATTAGTTCAAATGTTATCCATCTGAAGATTTATTCCATTGATATATTCCAGTGCACCACCCCCACCAATGGTCACTGTCACGACAACTCCGTCACCAACAACAGATTCTGAGACACTTGGGAACGTTCTTGCTTCTGCAATGGATTACTAATTTGCTTTACAAAGCATTTTTCTTTACTGAAATTCACACGGTTTGCATATTATCGTCCTATTTCTTGTTTTCTCTAATTTTTCCTGTTCTTGAAAATTGTTTGCAATTCTGTTGTATCATAGGGACGGATGTTCGGTTATTTTTGCAAAAACTGCTAAAATAATGCAGTCTTGTTTTTCCAGAAAATGCTGATGAAATGAGATATGGTAAAATAATTTCAGGAAACAAAAATTCAAAAATTGGGGAACTTTTGATTTTTGTCTTATTCTTATCACATATAATGTATTCATATTTTTACTTACATTTTCCTCTCCAAAAAAGTTAGGGCTTCAGGGCTTGAATGAAAAAGTGTTTTGTTAATGCAATTTTGTATTTATATGGTTCTTATATAGCATTATGCTTTATGATCATAATATTAATTTATTGCTTGGCAGTGATTAAAGATGCATGGCCGATATCAAAGATATTTACTTCACCGTGGATATAGTCTTATGTCCTAATTTTGCAACTTAGGTAAACGAGCAGCACAAATTTCAATAATAAGACGGTAGTTTGCCGTTTACCGTAACTCGCAAATCACTTTTTTTGTTTCATTTCGAAGAACTTTGGGGACTCCAACATTCAATTAAAAATGAAGCAAAAAAAGAGATATTTTTGTTTTTTTCTTAATTCGAATTTTAATGATGACACGCTTGCCATTGAATTTCAAAAAGCGTAAAAGTTTTCTCAAATCATTTTTAAGAACTTATCACTGTGGCCTTACTCATTCTCTATTCTTTTTATTACGAAATTTTTTTATTTTGTGTCCAGTGATTAAGCAGTATTCCATGATGTGCTGTTTGTACTGTCCATTCATCATTTTGAAAGCAAATTTTTCATGAATTTTTGGATTTTTTCTAGATTTTTCTAATTTGCCGCAGTTTGCTTAATTTGTGAAGCATCATGTCACTTTTAATGAATTTACTTTTATTGTATTTTCCAAGTCTACAATAATACATATTCTAATTTATTACGTAATTACCTAATAATATATTGTAACTAAGCTATCACAACTATTTGACCATGCTTTAAAAACATTTACCTGCTTTACTCGTAGTTTTATGCGGAATATTGTTTAAGTTATATTTTTTAAATTCAAAAAGAATTTATAAAAAGCAACCATGTTTTATTTCACTATAGAATTAGCATTATTTAAAAAAAAAAATGAAGGCGCATCACTTTAGAGAGTGGTGGCAGAGAGTGAGGATGATTTAGAGGGCAGCGTTAAATTCAGTATTGAGAGCATTTCTGCTGTTTGAGATCGTAACTATGTTATTGCATCAACATTTCATGTTTTACTTTTAGCTCATTTCATGTTATTCAACTTCTGATACTCAGTTCTGAAATTTATATTTTATTTAAATTCTTTCTGTAGTGAAGAGAAATTAATAAGAAGAATGAAATTCTTTCTCTTCACTCAAGATTTCGAGAATTTTTTGTTTACCAACAGTTTATGGACTCATAAATTGTTTCATATGTACATAAAAAACCAATTTTGATATGTTGAGCAGACCTTGTATAACTTTTCTCATGCTTACATTTTTTTCATTTTGCAACTGTCAGTAAAAAAATTTTCCTTTGCTGTGTTTAATAATACAGAGCATTAATCTTACTTTAAATTTTCGAAACATATGAAATTGATACAGACAACTCGATAACATATTCTCGTGTACCAAACTTAGAAAAGAAAATATGAACTTCACTAAAAGTTGAAAGAAACCTTGTATGGGACAGGAGTAAATGTTTTTCATTATTTTTGGAGGAGAAAGATAGATCCCACATGGGTTCTGCTGATTTTATTAAGATTATTTCTGGATTCTCTTGAATTGTTTTGAAAACTTTAGTTTTAGTAGTACTGGGTGTTTGCGGCTCCAAACGCACTAACTAGTTTCAAAAATGGCTTTCCTGACAATTATTTGGAACTAAGATTAACTTATCAGTAGTAAATTTAAAATTTCCAAATTCAGTGCGGTATCTTTTTTGGTTCTTTATCTGCCTCATCAGTAGATAGGCGAAACTTTCATTTCTACTATAAATGAAAGAACTCACTGCATTTTAGGATAGCAACAAACCAATCTCTCTTATAAGTGTATAAATTATTATTGGTTAACAATAGTAATTACCATTTTCAAATCAATCACAGACCAGTGAAATAAAAAACCGGATATATTCGGAATAAAAAAAGAACCAGTTCTGAACCATTTAGATACACACAGGCATATATATATATATATGTATACTATCATCATCTATTAATTATGCTACATTTTTCATTCCTCTCATACCATTTTAATTGTATCATTTAAAATGATTGTATTTTAATTTTGTGATTAGTTGATAATTATAAAATGACTGCCATTGAAATCAATTACAATTTCATTTTCTTTATCAATGATATTCTTTATCTCAATTCTTCTAATACTACCATTCAATACTTGAGTGAAATTGTGAGCAAATAGATTTTCGGTACTTTTAGAAGAGTTATTATTGTTTAGATGCATTCATGTTAATTATTGAATTTCGGAAGAAATGATTCAGGAAAAAATTATTTTCAAATTATTGCATGAGTAATATTTAGTAAGCTGTTAAGTATAACTGAAAAGCGTACTTTTCTTTGATAATTCTGATTTTTTGGTAAATTCATGAAATTCTTATTATAAATTTATCTTTTATAATAATAAAAAAGTGCTTAGATTATTTATACTCTCTCAAATATTAATTTAATTTAGATTCTTTTATCTTTTCCTCTATTCTTTTTAATATTTCCATTTCTAAAACTTCATTTATTGATTGGATATCAGTATTTATTGCGTTGTTCGCGTATCGCTTAAATTACCAAAAATCCATATCATTCATCATAAGTTATTTCACTAATAGAAAAGAGATGATTTGGAAAAGAAGTTTAATTCAGATTAACTTTTAGATTTTGCTAAATTTTCATGTTTGCCGGAACTGAATTTACTGATTCAACATCTGAAAACAATAATTGTCGTGAGTTTTCTCTTCATGTTTTTCATTTCTCTGAATTGACAATTGCACTGATGTAAGTCTATCAATTCAAAAATTAGCGCAATAAGTCGTTTCATATGATTATGTTTGATTTGTTATCAAATCATATTACATTAAATATTTCCAACTATCATTATTTGAAAATTTCTCCTAATGGAATATTTTATTTGCGAAAAATCTTGAAAAGTTATTGATAATTAATCAATTTGCAAATGATGAATTTTTTTCGCTTGTAGGTAGGTGTAAACTATAAACTACTCATATTTATCTTAATTAACTTTATCGGCCTGTCATTTTTAGGTGTCTTAGTGACAGGTGCATCCGGTTATCTTGCTATACATTGCGTTCAACAACTATTACAACAGGGTTACAAAGTACGTGGGACAGTTCGAGATTTGAATTGTTCTAAAAAAGTTAATCCGTTGCGACAGTTAGCAAATAGCGATCGATTGGAACTTTTTCGTGTTGCTTTTGAGGATAGCGAAGATCTATGGGAAAAGTAAGCATATGTCCTTTCGACAATAACTAATTGAAAAAACTGGATTATTCAAAATAGAATTTGATTAGGTTTGATCTTTGATATTAAATTATTCATTACTGCATTACTTATTCATCCTAAACTATCTAGTACATTTCCATCTCTTTTAAAAATGAATCATTTCATTTGGAAAATGCTTTATTGTTCCATATTAGTAATATCGAAATAATAAATGATAGGATATTGCAATTGTTTCAGAGCGATAACGGACTGTACATACGTGTTGCACCTAGCAAGTCCGTGTGAGATAATAGCGAACAGTATGATAGTGGAAATAGCAGTTTGTGGTACTTTAAAGGTCCTTCGTAGTGCCTCAAAAAGACAATGTGTACGAAAAATTGTACTTACTAGTTCATCTGGCGCTATTAATTTTAAGTTTACTTTTAATTTTAAGATATGCACATCTATTAAAGATGTTATCACATTTTGCCGTTTAATTCATCGAGCAATTAAGTAAGCTAATGATAGTGATAATATGGCATTAGTAATCAATTTTCGAAAGTTCATCTTAAAATTTCCATACCATATATAAACTTTCTAATGTCATTTTATGGTGAACTTTTTGAATGATCTTTCGTGATCCGTTGCGATAATTAGCATTTCAGTGGGACATAAAAATAGGAAGAAATGTTTCACTGAGGATGATTGGACAAATTTGAAATGGAAACATTTGCATGCTTACCATAGAAGCAAAACTTTAGCTGAACAAGCAGCTTGGAATTTTATGGAAGAAAATCCAGGTTTATATTTAGCATATCAAATTTCAAATTAAAATTAAAGTTTGAAACTGAAATTGTAGAACAAGAAAATGGATTATTAGTTGTGTAAGATTAGATTATGAGGGAACAGTTTAAATTCAAGTTTGATGTAAGAAAGGTCATATCTTCATAATTTTTCGAGAAATATAAAAAATTTCCATTTCAGTCAAAATATTTCAATTAAACCTATTCTAAATTTCACATCCTTTTCCAATCTTCTTTCATTATTAAAATTTTTAAATTAACTAAACAAGAAAGCTTTCTAACATTCATTACAGATGTATCGTTTTCATTGACAGTTTTAAATCCCTCTCTGATTATTGGACCATCGTTGCAGAATGCTAAAGGATCAAGTGTTATGGTAGGTCAAATTTATTTAATATTTGTAATGTAGGTGTAACATTAATCTTACATAAGTGGTAGAATTTGCCTCATTAACTTGTATGTTTTATATACTGATTAGTGAATTATATAAGCAATAATATATTGATGTGTGAAATTAATGTTGCATTTGCGCACTTACACAACTGATAAGATCAATTCAATGGTCATTATAGATAATCAGTCGTTTTATGGATGGTTCAATGCCAGCTTATCCAGCAATGAAGCTTGGTTTGGTCGATGTTCGTGATGTTGCTAAGGCACATATTTTAGCAATGAAAGAAAGAAAAAGTGATGGACAAAGAATTCTTATCACTGCTGAAACATTATCATTTCGGCAGATTGCCAACATTTTGCGACAAGAATTTGGTAAACAAGGTGAAATTTTTTTGTTTAGAATGATAAAAATATCAATAATAAACATTGAATTTTTATAAGATATCCTAAAAGATCTTAAAATCCATAACATAATCTAAAAGATAAATGACCTAAAAGATCTGTTTGTTTTCGATTAATTATTAACAATACTATAAAGTATGTAAATTATATATTAAGTTTGCTTAATTCTTAACTTAATTTATTTTTTTTAAGGAGTTATAATAAAATTATATTCATAGGAATTTCAAATAAAACTTCTATCATATTCATATAAAAAGGATGAATAATGGAATGGATAAGCTGACGATTCTATTGATAATAATTAGAAGCTTACTTTAGGCTACAGTATTCCGCGATTTAGAGTTCCATATGTAATCTTATGGCTTCATTCGTTAGTGGATAAAGCAGCATTACAAGCTTTACCATTATATGGACATGAGGATAAGTTAGATAATTTTAAAGTAAGCTTTCCTTTTTTAAAAAAAAAATTGATACTCATTGACATACTTAAATTTTCAGGTTATTTAAAACCTGTTTTCCAGAAAAAAATAATATCTGAAGATAATTTTAGTTTAATATCATGTCAATAGAAGTATCATATCAGTTTAATTACTAATAATTGATAAGTAATGAAAGTAAACTAAAAACTGTACCAATTGGATTATCAATTTCCTTTTTCAATGTATTTCTGAATTTCAGGGATCTCAATTGCTAGGTATATCATATCAAGATATTAGGAAATCATTGATAGAAATGGTTTATGATATGATTGAACGGAATATTTTACCAAGAAAGAAGAACAGATAGAAGAAGAAATTGTCGATTTAATTAAGAGGAAATTCAAATCTCGCCCAATTCGAATCCTGCGGCTATTTTTGTTATCATTTTTGTTGATAATATTTTCATTTTTTTTCGATTGTTACTTTTGAATTTTGTAGAAATTTTATATTTGAAATGAAATAAACAATCTAATAATTGATATTAACCAATTAAATTAATTCAAAAAGAAGGAAAGCTTTTTATTAAATTTTTGTTTGCATAATTATAAATGAAATATTACTTGTTAAATTTCATTTTATAGAGGTGCAAATATTCCCACTGAAAATAGCTAGCATAAATAATCTTCTAAATTGTTAGATTTAAAAATAAATTATATTATACAATGTGCCGAACAGATTCGTGTGTGGAATTGCAATGAAGTTGTTATAAATTCTGAGAAAAAAGGAATTGAATTTTAACAAATAATTAACAAAACAGTGATAATAGAATGTAATAGATAGAGAGCTGAAGTATGAGAAGATAGCATCCAATCACGTTTTGGAAAGATATCAGTTCAGGTTTTGGTAAGATATCATCCATTCAGGTTTTGGGAAAATATCGATCCATTCAGGTTTTTCTTCCTTCAATTTATAGTTATTCATTTTTAGAAATAATTAATTTAAATTAATAATTAAAATGAACTTATAACAAATCAAAACTTTTAATTTCATCCTCTCTAACTGCCCAAGAAAAAGAGTAAATCCTTTCTGTTATGGTTATCACAATGATTAATATGGAACCGTAAAGTTTTATCTCTACTTTGTTCAAGCCAAAATTCAAAATTATGCATATATTATTTTTTCATCAATAAGATGTTTTGTTCAGTATTACTAATACTAACATGAGAGCATATAAGTTCAGAGTTCACAGAATATGCTAATGTAACAACTCGATGATAAATATCTTCAATACTCACAACTATAGAATTATTTTCTACAATCTATAAGAATAGTTTTATAATAACTTTTCCAAAGATTTTAATCCAATTAGCTTGAACTATGTAAAATGGTATTTCTGTCAATGAATGAAAAATCATTTATCATCTATGAAATATTTCTTTAAATTTTTCTAATTACTACTTCCTTTAATTTCAGATGAACAATAGTTTGTCATCAATTGCAAATTGAATTTAAAAGCAAAATCCGGTTTTGTTTATTCCGATACATGTCTTAATTAATTGTCTTTAAAATTTCTACACTAAAATTGATCAAATTAAATCCATAGAACTATTTTTCTTATCGATAATTGAACCAAAAATCATATAATTTTGTCAATTTTATCAAAAAAAGAAGCTCAGGAAGTGATAAGATAAGTTTGTGCATTTAATTTAGCACAAATAATATTTCTTAAATGTTTTTATTGTTGTTCAATGCAATAAATAACAATTTTTTCGATCATTTTTAAGATTTGGGAACAGCAAAATCAGAGCGTAACTGAAGGATATTTGACCCATTGACCCCAATTATTGCACAATTTCCATCTATTTTAAATATCACGTAAAATAATTGAAAATTCAATATAGCAAACTTTTAAACTACATAAGTAGTTAGTTTGCAAAATGTAAATAGAAGTGCAAGGAAATATTGTCAATTTCAAATTTGTGAAAATTAAAGTTTTCTATAATTTTTTAAATGATATAACTAAACTGCGGAAATGATATGACAGATTTGCATCTATTAGAAATGAAGAATTAAACTAAGATAAATAATGATGTTTGCTTTCGATCAGAAATTCTTAACATTTTTTTGGTTCAATTTCTTTCACATATATTCTTCTACTTCAATAAAATTAAAATCAAAGTTAAATTGGAAATTTTAATTTTCATAAAGTTTCTTCCACGTCTTTCAATTTTTACATGCAATGATATTATGCATTAAATAATTCCACATTTTACAAAATTAGCCATTTATTCGAATTTTTCCTTCAACAATATCACATTTTCAAATATTTGTCCATTAGTTAATTTCTAAGGATAAATATTAACAATTATTTGATTGTATGTAGTATAAAAGAATAAATTACAAATTAGTAGAAAATATTAATATCCGAATATTCGCTTCAAATTATTCGTTCGTTATTAAAGAATTACTATCAAATATTTCATAAAATATCGATACAAAAAACCATCAGATATATCATTCTAAAACATATATTACAATGGCAATGAAAAATTTAATTTTGATTACAATTAGAAATTATCAAAAAAAAATTCAATTAGAATTAATAGATGCCTTCAGTGATATTCGCAAATCAAGAAATAAATTTGAAGGACAAGAAATTATGGCAAAGAAAAGATATTTTCGAATGATGGAAATATTGGGAATTGCGACGATTGTGGAAGCGCAGATTGTTGTTGAACTGATCCCATTTGTTGCCCAAATGATTGATATGGAGATTGTGGAAGCGCAGATTGTTGTTGAACTGATCCCATTTGTTGCCCAAATGATTGATATTGAGATTGTGGAAGCGCAGATTGTTGTTGAACTGATCCCATTTGTTGTCCAAATGATTGAGCGTATTGCTGTTGAGGTTGCGACATTTGCGAATATGGTTCTCCTGATGGAGGGTATAATTGCGCTCCTGATTGTTGCTGTACTATGAAAGGTTGATGAAGTACTTGCTGAGTTTGTTGTCCCATAGCAGTAAATTGTCTAGGTTGAACAGCCAAACTATTCAGATGTTGTTGATTGGTATTGAATGGTGCTATCGATTGATATTGATTTACAGATTCAAGCGGTATGGAATTCTTAATTGATGAAAGAAATGGAATGGAATGAAACTTCTGGAGATAACTGTGTGCTAGTTGAGAATCTTCTGGAGATAACTGTACGTTAGTTGTTCCGCTGATGGGTTGGATCAGATGTGAATTTAACTGTGCATCATCTAAATAATGAGATTCTGTTTTATTCATTATGATATAAGCGTAATTCTTCTTCAACATGGAATTGATAAAATCATTTCATTTATATTTTGATTTCAGTTTTTTAGCAAAAAATATCCGATTAAAAACTGAAGCTATTTTTAATTAGAAAATAATACCTAAGGAGAATTTTTGTAAGGAAGCTTGTTTCACAAAATTGGGTGATGCGATTATTTTATCACCAAACTGCAATAAAGTAATTATTTTCTCTTTCAAAGTCGCACTTCGTTTAGTTATTAATGCTCAAAACTTGTAAATAATAATTTTGAAAAGTTAAATTCAAACTAAAATTAAATACAAAAGCTTAATTCCAAAAATATCTAAAATCCACTTTTCTATGTAAAGAGTATCATCAATTTGATTGCATAACCTGTAACGAAGGTTGGTTGAAATTGATTTGTTTTTGATCATTCAATTCGTAATTTGTTGCCATTTGACCCATAATGAATGGAAGACTATTTTCTTCCACTAAAAAAAATTATGAAATATTTGAAAAAATGATTTTATTGTCCAAAATAAGCGGCTATGTTCACTAATTGGTTGCTACTGATCATATCACTAAAGTAGATTATTAAAAATTATGATATGATTACATGCTTAATATTGATGAGAATCAGAGACATGAAACATTTATGATATTTGGACAGATGAGTTTCAGAATTTTATTCAGATCAATTTCAGAATTTCTTATCGCTGAACGAAAAAAAGGTAAAAATTGGAATGGAATGAAATGGGAACAAGCGAACAGCCAAGTAAGCATATCTTCACTTGCCATAAAGATCGGATTTTGCCAGATATGGAAGACACCAAAATCGCCGAATTGTTACACTGTATGCTACACTGTAATATACAGTTTTTCAACTATTTATTATTATTAATTAATTAACCATCTTTGGCATAAAATATTCTAAACTTACTTTGCTTGGTTTCATTTGCGTTATTTACCAGGCTATTTTTCAATTTGTTGATCAGTAGCAGTCAGATTTAATTGATTTTTGCTGGTTTCAAGTTATTATTGCAATAAAAAACCATATGGAATATATTGAATTTAATATTGAATTATGATATAAAAATAATGATTATGATCATATGTGATTATAAAATTATGATTATAATCATTTATGATTATAAAATTATTATTAGACCATATATGATTATAAAATAAATTATGAAAAATGCGATCATGTATAAATTGATTGTACATGATTTGCAGGAAACGGCTGGTATTCTATTATTAATTTTCTTACCTTCCATTCTTTTTGAAATATTTTTTTATATTAGCAATGTAATCGAAAGCATATTGCCGTTCATCTTGCATTACCTCACCGCCAATAACAATTTGTCCCGGACCTACGTCCGCAATTCCGCGATCCCAAGAATTTTTCAAGTTATCAAATGTGCAGCATTGTAGGAAAAGTCTAAAACGAAATTGAATTTATTGTTGCATTCAGGTGAATTTGATTTAAATTCATAAACTTTTTTTAACATTTTAATACTGTGATAATCAGCACAATTAACCTTACAAACTGAATGATATTTATTTTCAGATTAATGTATAGTATTTCATTAATGCATAATATAATTTATTTTATCCTGATATTTGATTCAAAATTTCAATCAAATATTTAATTAAAAAAATTTTACGGTTTTGCAGTAATATTGGATGAAGGCGATAACCCTCCAACCCATTGTGTATTCTCATCGCATGATAAACTGCCATAATTTTTCTCACAATACTGAAATAGAATTCTTAAAAATTTTAAATTTAATAAAAAATGCCTTTTAAAATTAAATTATCGCTGCCTTTAAACGATTGTTGCAAATTTGTTGATCCAATTTTTACCAAAATTTCTAAAATTTTGTATAAAACATTTCCTTTCTTTATATCATCACATTGTGTTTATTTTCAATTTAGATAATATGTAATCGAATTTCATCTCATCCATTCAATTTAATTAATATGTAATCGAATTTTATTTCATTATTCATCCATTCTTTCTCCTCTTTAAAATTTGCCGAAAAAAATTTGACTTTAAAATTTCAAATATTATGCGATGTAATTTTTCATGTAACTTATGCATATTTTACTGATTACAAATATCTTAGATAAAATAATAAAAATGACAGCTAGCTGTGATTGTCGTGCTAAAACTTTTGCTTTATCATATTTCTTGAGATCATTGTCACGTATAAATCCATCGTTCTTCTTGTGTATCCTGCAAATTTAGCCGAATAATTTAAATAATTCAGTAAATATAATAATTTCCAGAAAATAAAGAAAAATCATGATGAACTTTTTAGAATCAAAAAAAAATTGGATTCAAGAATTTTCATAGTCGAATAAGTAACCGATAAAATCGAGCGCCTTTATCAGTTTTGATACCCCAACCAAAGCACGATGGTCGGGCACATCCAAGCACCGGTTGACCACTTTGCAATGCCTGCAATATTAATTTAAAAAGAATATATTGTTCCGGGCAATCAGTAAGTAATGCTAAAAATTAATCACTAATAGTTAAGAATGTTTTCGTTTAATATAAATTAATTAAAATTTATATTAAACTAAAACAACTGAATCACAGAAGTGATTATTAATCAATCTTTGACAAAAATAATAAATGCTTAAATTGTAAATTTAAAACTTAAAATTCCTATCAAAAAATGGCATACTTGTAAACTGTATGGAATTGCATCTTCGCCACAATATGAAGCAAGGATATGTGCATACGGTATTATGATAAAAGAAAAGAGTAACGTTAAAGGCAGCATATCCGCTTGAATTCAATTTCGGTCAACGAATTATCTTTTATAGTAGGGAAATGAAGAACTGACGGAAGAGAACTGTTGACAATTTTGGTAGGTCAGGTCAGTCCATCTTTTATATCAGTGACCGATTTTTATCTGAATCGATCCATTCTACAAATTAAAATTGTAATTTGTTGAAAGTTTCAACGAAATTTATTTGATGTCTGCATAAATGTAGGCGTGTATAATTGTACTATTAATTGACCATAGCAACTGGTCAGTCAATACATGGACCAGACGTGGAACGCAACTTTCCAGAAAATTCCATTCACTCATTTTTCTGCTGTTCCGATAATCACTCAGATAGGCTCTTTAATTGATTAAAAAATATCTTCGAAGCATTCAGTCAGAATTCCTATCGTAACTTCCATTGGACAAAAATAATTCTTTCTGAATTCGTTACACATATAAAAATTTACCAACGAAAATGTATTTTAATGATTAAAAACATTCAATGAAAATTTAATACATTTATGTGATATATACGCGAAAGGATAACAATAAAATATCTTTCATTCAATCATTGATTCTTAGATTCTCCTCTTCGTCTTTCGAGGAACACTTGAAGTAAGCTGAAATTTCTGAAATTTTGGAGAATATAAATTTAATCGTTTCTGCCTCGAATTAGTTCAAAAGATTCTAAAATAAATTTCAGATTTCATTAAATTTAAATTAAAATTAAAATTTCAAATTTCATGAATTTTAAACTGAAATTACACTTTAATCCATTCAAATAAATTATCATCAAATTATTCTAATTGAAAAATAAGGAAGATAAATACATCAAAAATTTCATTCACTTATTGTTTAAATTTTGTTTGTTGACGAAAGGTCGTAATCAATTCACTTCCTTGCAAGTGCTAAAAATTCATTAAATTACTAAGGGTGTGTTAAGAGGTATTTTGAAAAAGTTTTATGATCAGAAAACTGTTTAGCAGGAAATTCAACAATATATTTGGATATATCCTGGCAATAAGAACTGGCAATAAGTTGAATGGGTTTTTATCAAAGCAATGGTATCTTGCCTTACATTTTAAAATTACATTCTTAAATTGTAGATTTAATTTTATATCATTTCTATGAAATTAAGTAGATGGAAATATCTTTTCAATACTTACAGAAAGAGAAACATATGCATGTGTACGAGTTTCTTGAAATGAAAATTTTTCTCTTCCTGATTCAACAAAATTTCTGGTTGGAATATAAGTGTTCTAGCTTTTGATATTAATTTTAGTTAAATTTTGTCTGATTAGCGATATTATTTTAAGGAAATGATAAGCTGATCAATTCAGCGAATCACACTTCAAGATCAAGTGAGCAAAAAGTTTTAACAACCGAAGATAGAGAGGAAGTGGAAGTAGCTGAAAAAATGAAAGCACTTTTACTTTCGAAGAAATACGAAAAATCGGAAACGGATGAATTTGAGAGTATTAATAATGATATCAGTGTTAATGACATAGCCGGACTACAGGCATCCGATGAGCAAGGAAATGATGAAGAGAATTTCAAGAAGATGGATGTTAGCGTAAAATATTTTAAGAAAAAGATAGCAGACTTGGGTGGTACTTTCCACATAGTTAATGTCAGATGATAGAGGGCTAATTAATATGTTATTAATTCAAAAATAATACTTTATACAATTTAACAAAAATTTAAGTCTTTATTTTCAAGAAAACTTAATACTGGATATTAAATTATAATTTAATTATGATTTTAAATCCAACTTTTTCAAAGGTTTAAATCAAAAAGTAATTTTAGGTGCAACAAAATAGAAAAAATTGGTTTTTGATCAGCAAATACGCTTCCCATCTTAAATCATTTTTGAATGTTTGGAATAGTTATGCAGAATTTGTTACTGAAATATTATAGAAATACTGAATGACTAAGCGATCACTGGATATGTAAAACATCTGTTTCCAGAATATGATTCATAACATGAACCATTCAATACTCAAATCTTAAATAGCAAATAAATTATTATCAAATTGAATGTTCCAGATACAAATGGGTAAACGATTAGCGGATGATATAATTGATGCATATTGTGATAAATTACAGGAAAGTGTTGATAAAGAAGTTGATGGAATGCTTGCCATGCAGTATATTTTAGTCAGTTTAATTCAATTATTTTTAGACATTTAGAATGAATCAGATAATAATCTAAACATATTTTCATTCATTTAGCTCCTTATTATCTGATAATGATCTAAACATATTTCCATTCATTTAGCTCCTTATCATTCGGTAATGATCTAAACATATTTCCACTCATTTAGCTCCTTATCATTCGATAATGATCTAACATATTTCCACTCATTTAGCTCCTTATCATCCAATAATTTTGAAGTCTTTCTATTAAGTAATAAATGAGATTGAAATTTGAAATAAAATTCATTCGAATTCGAATAGTATAAACTATTTAATTTGTCAATCATATCTTTAAATAAATAATTCCATAATCACATCTTTATCGTTTTCATTTGACTAAAATAGAATTTTGCTCGATAAACAATTTATTGCCAGCTATATCAATATTTTATAGCAAAAAAGAAAAAATCTCTTCTAGCACTAAAAGAATATTTTCTTCTAGTTAGAGCCAAATTCAATAAAAAACTTGGTAAAAGGTGATAAAAACATATGTCAAGTAATATACGATCATTGTCGTGCACATTATTTGGTGCTATTCCGAAATAAGCTCAATCCGAAACGTATCATTGTTTATGATCCTATTGTACCGCAAAAACATTCCGTTATTGAAACAGTTTGTTTCAGTTTCCTGAATTTGTTTCATTTCTCCTTTTAAATAAAAGAAAATTCAAATATTTATAATGAACCTATAATGCATCATTTAAAAATTTTTAGCAACAGAATCTTAATTTTAAAAGACGGAAAATGAAGATTTTGAATTTTGAATTTATGTAGGAAGAAATAAATTTTTCAATTTATCAATAAGGGAAAATTACTTTTTAGCTTAATGACAGTGTTCGTGAACAGATTCTAGTCATGTTTGGGCATCTATATCAGGATGATGAAATAGTTGAAATTGCAATCGAGACAGGTTTAAGTACACAAAACGATTGCTGGTCATGTGGCCTACGAGCAGTTGCATTCACTACACATTTATTACTTGGCATCAATCCTGCTAAGTTAGTTTTAACAAAAGTTAATTCGATAATTCTTTGAAATTCAAAATTAAAAGTGTACAGTACTGCTTCAATGTAATATTTCTTCATATTGAGAAATTTGTAGGAATTTGAATTTCATTTTTCTTTACCAAAAAATTGTAATTGAGAAAACTTTAGCTATGAATATGATTTGGAAAAAGTTGGAAAATTTACTATGGAAATTATCAAAATGGATAGACCTGATCGTAACGTAATTGCTAGCGGGCAAATTGGCCAGTAAGGCTATTGTTTCTATACTAATGATAATTATCATAAATTGGGATACAAACAAATTCCTCTTATTCCTATTATAAATTCTTAAATTCTCGATCATCTCATACATATTAGTATCAACCATAAAATTGCAACCATAAAATCATTCTCAAATTACTAATTCATCATTCTGTTAACTCCATCTAATCTATTATCACTTATTCGTCTGATAACTGATAATGCATCATTTCAGTTTGCTTAAACAGTGGAACTTTCAATATTTTCAATCAAATAGATATTATATTAAAGTAGTTAAATTACATTAAGATGATGATAAAATTTGATAATCCAATTGATAAATTTAATCAAATTTTGATTGAATTGATAAGTTACTGCAAAAAAAATAAGAAATCTCAAAATTAAATTAATGATATTTTGCAGAGAAATAAAAGGTAATAAATCATGTTTAACAATTGTACGTGTAACCAAAGGTGAGAAATTTGCGGTAGAAAATGGGACAGCTTATGTTATAAGTAAGCAATCTTCAATGGAACCGTTATTAAACAACGAACAAGAAGTTATTATACCAAAAGAAAATGAGGAAAAATTATCAATATTATTATCCAAGAATGACGATAGGAACAGAAATAACGATAATGACAAAAAAAATGGTAATATTTGAAACATTTAATTTAAAAATTACAACTGAAATTAAATTAACATTTAATTAATTAGCTTTAACTTTTAAATTTTATACGAAATATTTGTATTTTTTTTATTAGCAATACATCTTTTAAAGATACAATATGAAGCAGAATTGATTTTCCTACTTCAAGTACCATAACTTGAAATTGTTTAAATAAATAATAAAATTATAAATGGGAAAAATCAATCAATCAATTGCAACTTTTCAATTTCATCTTTTAAGGCATAATTATATGAGAATACTGAAAGTGTATTAAAAACTAATTAAATATTAAAATTCTTTTTTGTTCTGCTAACCTTTTTTATGGCCAATTTCAAAATGAATAAGCATGATTGCTAGAGTGAAATCAGTTCATGATAATTTATTGCGCCTTATCTGGTATTTATTGGTAATTTATTGCGCCAAAAAATACCGATCGGTATTTTTTGGGTCTTCTAGACAGTTTAATTGTTCGGTATTTTTGCCTCCAAGGATAAGTGTTGTTATTTATTTATATTTTAGAATTGCTTCAAACTTCCTCACATTATTAAGCTGCTCCATTAAATGTTTCAGACTAAATTTTTGAGATCAATTTAACTCAATGCTATTTGCTTTAAAAAATATTAGAAAGTTTATGACAACATTTTTAGACTATACACGAAAGTCAAATCAATCAATCAAATCGAGTAATAGTGAACACAATTAATTCATTGAAAGATTCGAAATCTGATAACAAAACACGATCCACTATCAGTGATAAATGATTTTGCTTGCACCTTTTCTTGCTTATTTTAGCATCGGGAAATAAGTGATAGGAGAAATAATGGTGGTCAGAATGACCATTGTCAGTTTCTTTTATTTCTTTCTGAAAAGTACAAAGGATCGATCTTATTTAGTGTTGTCTTTTTAATTCGCTATCATCTCTTTCTAAACAAATGTAACTTTTCGAAAAACAAAACGCATCTGCTAGAAATTATTCATGAAAAAGTTTTCGGAAAAAAACGAAACTTATTGATTTAATCTATGATCAGAACGATCGCGCGTTGCTGTTGATATTGTTTAAGAGAAGGAAAGTTGAATTAAATTAAGTTAAATGATGAAATGAATTATGTCATGTTTATCTTTAAATTTTCAACAGATTTGTTTTCATAGTAAAACATTAAAGTTTTCTTTAATGAAACAAAATATTTTCGTTACATCGAAAGTAACAATAAAACAAACAGTGATTTTAATTATTGATAATTTGACATCTCAAATACATTTTAAAAAAAAAAAAGTTTGTTTATTTTAAAGTAGCTGCACTTGTAATATTTCTGATATTGATTTATCATTTTTTATATCAGTCTGAATTCCTTCATTTTTAAATCAAATTCTTTCGTAATAATAATGTATTTGTTTATGATGATTGAATTTTCTTCGTTGTCCAGGAAAGCATTTCTGTTTTGCGGATATGATATTTTGGGATTTTTTATGATAGCATGCAACTTGCAAATGCAAAATTGCATTTTTTTTTCATGTTCGCAGTAAAAACTCATAACAGATAGAAATAATATAATAAGCTATAACGTACAGTCATACATGTCGTGCTGCTTGAATACATCAATAAACTTCATTGAGGTCAAATAAAATGCAAATCGAAGCAATTTAACTGATTATCTCAAGCGGACTCTGAAGAGTTGCCGTCATTTAGGTAGTTTAAAGGAGTTTGTAAATTTTGATCGTTATTTATTTGTCATTTTTTAAATTATATTTGGAACACATGCTTATAATATATTGAACTGATGTCGTTAATTTTATAAGTATTGGTGTCGGACAGTAATATTTTCAACAGTTTTTATCAGTAACAAGTCATTACACGTAACTCTCATATTACAAACGTTGCTTATGTAATGATTTGTTTCTTGTACATGTTAAACGACTAGGCCAATAAATTTATTTGAAAGAAATGCTCGAATAAGCTTTTGCAAGGCTGGCTGATAACCAATTTAACAAGCGAGAGAGAAAGTAATTAATCACTTTGTTATTTTTGTGTCAAAATGTTTGTTTTTTTGATAGATTATTTCATAATGAAATATTTACTCTCAATGTGATAAGACTGTCAGTAAATGAAAGATGATTCCGAGTTGCAATATATTTTTGGAAATAAAATTTTGAAAAAAAGGCGAAAAATTATTTCGTTCAAAATTCATCTTTTCAGTATTTAAAAAAATGAATTCCGAAATGATCTTTTTTTGTCGATGAGATTTTCCCAAAATCTGTTATATGATACATAAATATAATACAAAGATCATTTTTCGAAGCACTTTTATTTTCGCACTAATTATAAAAGTTGTGAACGGTGATGATTCACAAGGTGATGATTCGGTGATGATTCATGTAAAAATCAGAGCAAAAATATTGAAAATTCATTGAATGTATCAGCTAGTTCAAATAAATGTTGAAGTTATAGAAATAAAAAAAATTTATGATAAGTGAAAAAAGTCATACCTTACAATTCTTATATTAAGTAATGCCTTCAAGCGGAATACTATTCTTTAAGACGTTACGGCAAATTTCTCATCTTACTCCCAGGTAAATTTTATAATTTCTCCAATTTTTATGGCTTTTTTCCATCATATAATAGATTCAATTCATTTCCACTACTTTTTTAATTATATTAAATTATCAAACAAAGTGATGAAATTTAACCAGGCTTAAACAATGCAGAATTTATATCTATTAATGAACAATATTTAATACTTATCAATGGTGTGAGTGTAAAATGAGCCAGGTATCAATGAATTGTCGTCATTGGCATACAAATCACACTGTCATTTTTGAACTACCTATTTAGTAGCTTCATAACTTTTTGATGCTAGAAGAATAATTCAAGTTAATAGAAGAAATTTTATGTAAATTGATAGATTAATTTTTTATAGGTAAATATAGTAATAGTTATATGGAAGGTTTCATTTTATTGCCTATTTCTTATCTGTCAAGGAGTGGTTGTGCTCCTTTATAAATGCCAAAAAAGGAAGAAGAAGAAGTATCATTTCGTTAAATCTTTTTTCACATTCGATATTAGTTCTACGGCGAAATTTTCTGCTAACTGAATTAAATTAATTGAAATAACTTTAATTGAAAATTTTTTCTTTTTTACAAATTATAAATATCCAACAATAATTTATTTAATCAATTATTAATCTGAAATTTGAAAATTCTTAATATCTATTTTGATTGCAGTTTGTTGGAATTATTGTTGGTTTGTTAATTTAGATATTCAATGATAAGCAAATAAATTTTAAAGTTTCACCACTTACAAATAAATTTGATATTCCAATAGTGTGTTTAATCATTATCACAGGGTGATGATTCTGTATCAATAACTGATGATGTAAAAGGAGCTGATTATTATCATGGATTAATACCGCGTACCGATATCGAACCGTTGCTAAAAAAGGAAGGGGACTTTTTATTGCGTAAAACTGAGCTCACTCCTGGTATCATTTATCTTATTTCTATTTAACATAAAATTGTCCACGTGATACATGCCTGGTAAAATATTTTACGTTCCAATAAACATCTGTTTTTCAAAAGGAAAACTTAGTAATTTACTTCTTTCTTTTTCTTTCGTTTTAGAAGATGCAACATATTTACATGAAAAAAATGAAATAATTCCTAACTTTTATTGGTAAATTCAATTTTTCACATTTGCAACAAACAGATGAATAATAGCGCAGAAATTAATGGCGCTAATACAAGTCAATTTTGAGCATTCTACAAAACAGTTGCACCATTTTGAGACTAACTGGACGTAAAAG